GAGTTGTAGGTACTGGGATTTATAGTTTACCTGCAATCTAAGAGCACTCTGAACCCAACCAGTGATGGACCTACAACTAACTTGGCACACAGAACACTTGTGACAAAAAATACTGGCAGTCTTTGAGTGGATTTATAGTTGTAGTTCATCTACATCCAGAGAGCACTGCGAACCCAAAAGCTGATGTATCTGGAGCAAACTTGGCACACATACCTGATATGCCCAAATTCGATTACTGAAGGGGTTTGGGAGAGATTGACCTTGAGTTTTGGGAGTTGTAGTTCACCTACAACCAGAGAAACTGTGATCTCCACCAACAATGGGTCTGAATCAAACTTGGCGCACAGAACACCCACGACCAACTGAAACTACTGGAGAGGTTTGAGGAGAACTGATCTTCATTTCTGGGAAGTGTAGTTCAGCAGCATCTGGAGAGACTGTGACCACCACCGACAAAAGACCGGGTCCAAACTTGGCATACAGAAACCCCATGACCAACTGAACCTACTGGAGGGGTCTGAGGAGACTGACTCACCATAGTAGGAGTTGTAGTTCATCCTGAAGCCAGAGAGCACATTGAACTCCACCAATGATGCATCCAGAGCAAACTTGCCCAACATTTTGGAGTTTCAGGGGGTTAACCTGGCACGATGTGAGTTGTAGTTCACCTACAACCTTATGCATTTTGTAAAATAAAAAAAAACTTTTTCAAATAACCCAAGCAATGTTGGGTACCCAAGTTTGTATATATATATGTGTGTGTGTGTGTGTGTGTGTGTGTGTATTCTATTTAAAGGTGAATCGCTGAGCCTGGAACCCCAGGTCTCAGCGGTGGCCGGGAGAGCTTTTGCAGTTAAAGCTGGTGTGCCAGCTGCACCCGTACCTTGAGAAATCAGACTTTGCCACGGTGGTCCACGCTCTGGTTACATCCTGTATAGACTACTGCAACTCTCTTTACGTGGGGTTGCCTATGAAGACTGCCTGGAAGCTGCAATTAGTCAAAGCTCGGCAGCCAGGTTACTAACAGGGACGGGGTACAGGGAGCGTACAACTCCCTTGTTGCGCCAGCTCCATTGGCTGCCAATTAGCTTCCGAGCACAATTCAAAGTGCTGATTTTAACCTATAAAACCCTATATGATTCCGGCCCAGTTTACCTGTCCGAACGTATTCTCCCCTATGAACCATCAAGAGTGTTAAGATCGTCTGGAGAGGCCCTGCTCTCGGTCCCGCCATCTTCGCATGCGCGTCTGGTGGGGACGAGAGACAAGGCCTTTTCTGTGGTGGCCCCTCGGCTATGGAATTCCCTCCCAAATGAAATTAGATCTGCCCCCTCCCTCCTGATCTTTAGGAAGCTAGTAAAAACCTGGCTGTGCAACAAAGCTTTTGTGGAATGATGTCTGAGATCGGCAATCAACTAATGGTACTGATCACAATATATGGACTGGACATACAGACTGAGTTGGACACGATTTTATCCTGGCAAACAGCTTTTATGTAATTTATGTAATGTAATTGGTGTGTTGTGTATTATGTTTTAGATTGTATTAGCATTGAATCTTTGCTGCTAGCTGGTCTGAGTCCCTCTGCAGAGGTAGAGAAGGCCGGGATATAAAAGTTTTAAATAAGAAATAAATAAATAAATTTAATAATAATAATAATAAAAGAATAATTACCCTTCTGTCAATGAAAAGCTGGCAAAATGCTCTAAAGTTCAAATCCTAGGGCTCTCTAAATGTATGTTTGTCTCACAAAGGCTCCTTTGAGGCTTGGCAGTTTGGGACCAAACTTGGCACACAGATCCTTTGTGAGTCAACTTAAAATATGGGTGGGGTTTAAGCAATCCATCGCTTTTGTTCATTGCTATATATTTAAAATAAACGGCAATCGGTGGCTCATGAGCCTCATGCTGTAGTGCTCCGACTCAACAACAAGAGAGCTGTATAGAGACACTGGAAATCACTTCCTGTTTTCCCAAAATGGCCCACATGGTTTCACTTACCTAGGAATTTGCGAAGTCCTCCAGAAAAGGTAACTTTTTAGGAACCTCTAGGTCTTCCTTTTCCCCCGCCGAGAAAAATTTTGAATGTAAAACTCTCAAACGTCCAAACGGAATAATGATCTGTGTGCTATTTAAAAGGTGCACTGTTCGACCCTCGTACATATCAATCACAGAGAAAACAGGTACGTATGTTTGTACCCCAAAAGCTCCTCTGTGGCTTGATGGATCTGGACCAAGCTTGGCACATATATCTTTCATGATCCAAATTAAAATATTGGCTGGGTTTTAAAAACACACCCCTTTTATTTATTCATTTATTTACAGTATTTCTATACCGCTTTTCTCACCCCCAAAGCAGTTTTGCATGTTGCCTTATTTTGAAAGCAAACTACTTTAGCTAGCTTTTAGAAAAGCTTCAGACCTGGAGAAGGAGGAAAGGAGGCCTTAAGCTGGTATTTTACAAAAGCTTCAAAGCTGGAGAAAGAAGTCCTTAAACTCATGCTTTACAAACACTTCAGAGCTGGAAAAAGGAGGCCATAAGCTAGTGTTTTAGAAAAGCTTCTGAGCTGGAGAAGGTAGAAAGGAGGCCTAAGCTTGTGTTTTATACAACCTTCAGAGCTGGATAAGGGAGAAAAAGTCCGTAAGCTTATATTTCACAAAAGCTTGAAAGGTGGAGAAAGAAGAAAGGAATCCTTAAGCTTGTGTTTTATATAACCTTCAGATCTGGAGAAGGGAGAAAGGAAAGAAAGAGGAAAAAGGGGAAATAAAAGAAGGAAGGAAGGAAGGAAGGAGCCACAAAGAGAGCCAGCTTGCAATGGAGACTTGCTGGGAAAGGGAGAAAGGAAAGAAAAAAAGAGGAAAAAAGAAGGGTGAAGGAAGGAAAGAATAGAAATAAAAGAAGGAAAGGTATGAGGGGAAGGAAAGAGAGAGAAGAGATAAAGTAGCGGGCAACCTCCTCTCCAACATTTGGGCAACGCTGTGTATTATTATATATACACTAATATTATATATTCATTACTTTTAATGGCATTGCAGCACACCAAAATACCTGAAGTTACTCTGGACCACGCTCTGACTTACAAGAAGCACTATTTGACTATCAAGCAAAAAGTGGGTGCTAGAAATATCATATGAAAGCTGACTGGCACAACCTGGGGATCACAACCAGACACAGTAAAGACATCTGCCCTTGCACTTTGCTACTCTGCTGCTGAGTACGCATGCTCAGTGTGAAATACATCTCACCATGTTAAAACAGTGGATATGGCTCTTAATGAGACATGTTGCATTATCACAGGATGTCTACATAGTACCTCGCTGGAGAAATTATACTGTTTAGCCGGTATTGCACCACCTGACATCCATTGGGAAGTAGCAGCAGGCAGTGAAAGGACCAAGACATTGACATCTCTGGCCCATCCTCAGTTCAGATATTAGCCAGCACGCCAACGCCTTAAATCAAGAAATAACTTCCTAAGATATACAGAGATATTCACAGGAACACCTCAGCAAGCCAGAGTCCAGAAGGGGCAGGCAAAAACCCAGCACCTTAATCAGTGGCGGATACTGGATGAGAGACTCCCTCCTGGGTACACAGAAGACTGGGCAACTTGGAAGGCACTGAATAGACTGTGTCCTGGCAGTACGAGATACAGAGCCAATCTTAAGAAATGGGACTACAAAGTAGAGTTCGTGAGATGCAAGTGCGGAGAAGGGCAAACCACAGACCACCTACTGCAATGTAGCCTGAGCCCTGCCACATGTGCATTGGAGGACCTTCTCACAGCGACACCAGAGGCACTCCAAGTGGCTAGCTTCTAGTCAAAGGACATTTAGCATAATGACAAGTTCTTAACTTTGTGTTTTTAAATACATTATAACTGTACTGTCAATTCACTTCTGACACGATACATAAATATCGGGGATACATAAATATCAGGGGAGCATTCGCAGTTAAAACTAGTGCGCCAGCTGCGCCCGTACTGTACCTTGGGAAGCCTGACTTGACCACGGTAGTCCATGCTCTAGTCACGTCCCGTTTAGACTACTGCAACGCTCTCTACGTGGGGTTGCCTCTGAAGACTGCTCGGAAGCTTCAAATGGTCCAACGATCGACAGCCAGGATGCTAACAGGAGTGGCACTCAGGGAGCATACCACTCCACTGCTGCGCCAGCTCCACTGGCTGCCAATTTGCTACCGGGCACAATTCAAAGTGGTGGCTTTAGCCTCTGGCCCGACCTACCTGCCCGAACGCGTCTCCTCCTATGAACCAGTTAGGACATTAAGATCATCTGGGGAGGCCCTGCTCTCGATCCTGCCGGCTTCACAAGCACGCTTGGCGGGGACGAGAGACAGGGCCTTCTCAGTGGTGGCTCCTCAGCTGTGGAACGCCCTTCCTGCAGATATTAGATCGACCCCCTCCTTGCTGGCATTCCGGAGGAAAGTAAAGACCTGGCTGTTTGAACAGGCATTCGACTAAGCAGTGTGATTGATTGATTGACTATCGGAACACGGAATATGGGATAATGAGTTTGGATTCTGATTTCATTGACGAGACCTGATGGATATGTTATATTGATGTAGTGATGTACTGATATTGATGTTTAATGATTTGTGATGCTATTGCTTTTAAATGCTTAATGATTTTGTATTGTGTATACCTAAATTGTTGTAAACTGCTCTGAGTCGCCTAAGGGCTGAGAAGAGCGGTATACAAATAAAATAAGTAAGTAAGTAAGTAAGTAAGTAAGTAAATAAATAAATAATGGCCCATATAGAAGAACCTTGAGACTATAGGATAAAGAAAGAGTTGGGCTTTTTTTTGCAAGAAATCATTCATCCACAGGTCACCATGAATAGCGTTTCTATGGTTTCCCACCAGTTTTTGCTTCCTCAAATAATTATTTCTGACTTTTGGGATATCTGGTCCCATTGACCCCACAAAGTATGCTAATGTACCCCAAGTCCTCAAATAAATGAACCAAACAGCTACGGAAGACTGGAAAGAAGCAAAGGGGCAAAACAGTTAGGTCCCTTTTCCCCTTTGTTTATTGGACTTTTTTTTGAAAAATAAAAGGGTCACATGCCATCAAAACATCTTTAGAAGCAACGTCAACCTTGGCGGAACAGTCCCTCTGCCAACAATATTATTGAACGCCACAAGGAAAGGGAGCAGAACCAAACAATCCCCATCGAGAAGCACTACTGGGAAAGGGGAGATATACATATATTATATATATATATAAAATGTTCCCAACAAAAAAGGAGACATAGTGAACAGTGTTTTTGAATGGATGCTTGTGGTCTTCAGGACAAGAGCGCCTGGAAAGCTAGGAAGAATAGAAAAAAGCAGTGAATGGATACGAATGTTGAAAAGGGTTTTTGTTTTTTTTGCAAAAGCATTCAGACAAACGCATTCAAACACACACAGAGGGACGGAACTCAATCTTGAGCTGGGAGAAAAAAACACGACTAAAGATCCAAAGCAAAGTGAAGCTAAAGTATAACCGTGTCACTGCAGAATGTGCTTTCAAGTCTGCATTTGGAGGAGCTTTCGAGACAAATCCAGATTAGTTTACACCTTTAGAGGACATCTATCTTTGCGAGAATCCAGAAAAACAAGATGGTGGCAGGTCGATATATGTTCTGTAATCTCAAAAATTAGAGCTGATAGAGGAAAACAGGTGTCATTTTTTTCACTCGAGCCATTGAGAGACAGAGTCCCTGAAACAAAAGCTGAGACTGGTGTGTGTGTATATATATATACGGTAAATATGGAAATATGTCTTTTAGGTTCCAACTTGTTTTCTTCCTCAAATGGGCCAAATCACCGGCCCCTGCGATGCTTTGCTTACAGTCCAAAAGGCAAAGTGATGCTAAAAAGGAAGTGACGCAGAAGTTGGACATCTTTTGGATGGGAAATTCTGCATTTTCCTCAGAAGGGAGATGTTACGAGTCCTTGCTGAGACAGACCTCTTTTGTTTCTTCATTTGAAGGGATTCTGGGGATGTTGAGATCTACATCTTGTAATAATCAATCATTGTTTGGCTCCAAGGCTTTTTCAAAGCAAATGGAAACCGTTGTCAAGAGCAGCTCCGACGAACCCAAGCAACGGCCTTGCTCTGCATCCTTATCTACTTCCCGGCTCTTTTCATGTAATACATCTTGATCATTCTCTGGCGGAAGGTGGAAAAGGTATCTTCTTTCTTGTCTCCAATGCCCAGGCCCTGTCCAGCCGAAGTAGAGCCCCTGTGAGAGGCACAAAAGCAAGTGTCAGCATGGCTTGGGGCCATTATAGTCTCTGAGCAAAATAATAATAACAATAACACTTTATTTATATTCTGCCCTTCTCTCTGAGGGGGCTCAGAGCAGATTACAGTATGCAAGCATTCAATGCCTTGTTTACAATGACATACAATGAGACACAAACACACAGACAAAGGCAAAGGCTTCTCCTTTCATTTCCGGGTCTGGAGGCAGGGCTCATCTCTAGCTCTGAGGGAGGTGCTCTTTTCCACTTCCAAGCTGAGGAGCCTGAATCTGTAGACACCTCCTGGTCATGTGGCTGGCATGAGTGTTTGGAGCGTCTTTTTGCCTCTTCCCGCCGTAGTGGTACCTATTGATCTACTCACATTTGCATGCTTTCAATCTGCTAGGTTGGCAGGAGCTAGGGCTAACAGCAGGAGCTCATTCCGTCCCGCAGATTTGAACTGCCAACCTTCAGGTCAGCAGTTCAGGAGCACTAGAGTTTAACCCGTTGCACCACCGCAGGGAGCAAGAGGAGAAACACCAAATAAGTGACAAAAAAATCCCACTCAAACCAATCCAGAATATCCCATCTCGATCAAGAGGAGTGGGTGGGAAGAGTCTCAATCTATCTATCTAGACCAGGGGGTTTTCAGCTGCAGAGTTCTTGAAGCAAAAAGTTTCTCATGGAGCCACAAGAAATGTTTACATACTATATATTATATGATATTATAACATATTATTATATATTATTATATTATATATTGGCTTGGGTCCCTGGCATTGCCCGAGTTATTTGAAAAAGTCATTTCTGTAACTGTACAAAATACATCAGGTTGTGGGTGCACTACAACTCACATCATGCCCGAAAACCTCCATCAGTACTTCAAGTTTGTTATGTTGGGCATTTTGCTCTAGATGCTTCATTGGAGGGGTTCCGTGTGCTCTCTGTCTGTAGGGTAAACTACAGCTCCCACTATGGTGAGTCAGTCCCCTCAAACCTCTCCAGTAGGATGAGTTAGTCAGGTCCATCATGAGTGGAGGTCAGTTTCTCTGGTTGTGGGTAAAATACAACTACCAGAAAGGAAGGCCAGTTCCTCCCAAACCCCGCCAGTAATCAAATTTCGGTATATCACTATGTGTGCCAAGTTCAGCCCAGATCCATTGGTGTTTGGGTTCACAGTGCTCTCTGCATTTAGGTGAACTACAACTCCCTCAAATCAAGGTGAATTTTCCCCAAAGACCTCCAGCTGGTCATGGGGGCTCTGTGTGCCAAGTGTAGTCCAATTCCATCTTTGGTGGGGTTCAGAGTGCTCACTGATTGCAGGTCAAAGGCTTATGGGAGAAGCAGTGAGCGGGATCATGCAAATTCCACACCAATCAAGAGAGTCAAAAACACTGGGATGCCTGTGGTGGAGGAAACACATAAAATCTGGGATCCTCCCTTTCCTCCTTCATTCTCTTTCTTCATTTCCTTCCTCTTCATTTCCTTCCCTCCCTTCTTTCTTCATCCCCCTCCTTTCTTTCCCTCCTTCCTTCCTCCTTCCTGTCCCTCCTTCTTTCTTTTCCTTCCTTCCTGTCCCTCCTTCCTTCCTTCTTCCTTTCCTTCTTTCTAAGATATAAATACAATATTAAATGGAAGGAACAGTCAAGAAGTAACGAGAGAAGGAGGGAAAAAGGGAAGGAAGGAGAGAAGCAGGGAGGGAAAGAAGGAAAGAAAGACAAGAGAAGCAAGGAAGGAGTGAAGGAAATAAAAAAGTGAAAGGAAAAAGAGAAGGAACGAATGAGAGAAGGAACAAAAGATAGGGAAGGAAGGAAGGATGTAACCAAAGAGCAAAGAAAGGGAGGAAAGAAACAGGTAGAGATGGAAGAAAGATGAGAGATAGGGAAAGAAAAAGAGGAAAGGAAGGAAAAAGGGAAAGAAGGAGAAAAAGAGGGAGGGAAGGTTGGCCACAGCAACGTGTGGTGGGTACAGCTAGTAGAAAACTCAGTATTTTCTTTTGGTCATGGGGGTTCTGTGTGGGAACTTTGTCCCAATTCTATGGTTGGTAGGGTTCAGAATGCTCTTTGATTGTAGGTGGACTATACATCCCAATTACTAATCCCAAATGTCAAGGTCTATTTCCCCCAAACTCCATCTGTGTTCATATTTGGGCATATTGAGTATTTGTGACAAGTTTGGTCCAGATCTATCATTAAGTCCGCAGTGCTCTCTGGAGGTAAGTGAACTACAACTCCAAAACTCAAGGTCAATGCCCACCAAATGCTGCCAGTATTTTCTGTTGGTCATGGGAGTCCCGTGTGCCAAGTATGGTTCAATTCCATCATTGCTGGAGTTCAGAATGCATTTTGATTGTAGATGAACTATAAATTCCAGCAACTACAACTCCCAAATGACAAAATCATTTTTTTAGTGATGGTCACTCCTTGTGTTAGTAGATGTTTTGTGGCCAAATTTGGCAGCAATTTGCCCAGTGGATTTTGAGTTATGATGCCACTCAAAACAAACAGAGCATTTATAGATAGATAGGTAGGTAGGTAGATAGATAGATAGATAGATAATATCTGTATATCAGGCATGGACAAACTTTTTGACACATTGTGTTTCAAAATTTGACAGGCCAGGCTAGTGGCAGAGGGATGCAGAGTGTTTGTATAAACTAATTGGGGGAAAAACTTTAAAAAATTCCCATGTACGCTGTACACATTTTCATAGAATCATAGAATCAAAGAGTTGGAAGAGACCTCATGGGCCATCCAGTCCAACCCCCTTGCCAAGAAGCAGGAATATTGCATTCAAAGCACCCCTGACAGATGGCCATCCAGCCTCTGTTTAAAAGCTTCCAAAGAAGGAGCCTCCACCACACTCCGGGGCAGAGAGTTCCACTGCTGAACGGCTCTCACAGTCAGGAAGTTCTTCCTCATGTTCAAGTGGAATCTCCTCTCTTGTAGTTTGAAGCCATTGTTCCTGCGTCCTAGTCTCCAAGGAAGCAGAAAACAAGCTTGCTCCCTCCTCCCTGTGGCTTCCTCTCACATATTTATACATGGCTATCATATCTCCTCTCAGCCTTCTCTTCTTCAGGCTAAACATGCCCAGGTCCTTAAGCCGCTCCTCATAGGGCTTGTTCTCCAGACCCTTGATCTCCTCTGGACACATTCCAGCTTGTAAATTTCTCTCTTGAATTGTGGTGCCCAGAATTGGACACAATATTCCAGGTGTGGTCTAACCAAAGCGGAATAGAGGGGTAGCATTACTTCCTTAGATCTAGACACTATGCTCCTATTGATGCAGGCCAAAATCCCATTGGCTTTTTTTGCCGCCACATCACATTGTTGGCTCATGTTTAACTTGTTGTCCACGAGGACTCCAAGATCTTTTTCACACGTACTGCTCTCGAGCGAGGCGTCCCCCATTTTGTATCTTTAAATTTCGTTTTCCTGCCAAAGTGGAGTATCTTGCATTTGTCACTGTTGAACTTCATTTTGTTAGTTTTGGCCCATCTCTCTAATCTGTCAAGATCGTTTTGAATCCTGCTCCTTTCCTCTGGCTATCCCTCCCAATTTGGTGTCGTCTGCAAACTTGATGATCATGCCTTCTAGCCCTTCATCTAAGTCATTAATAAAGATGTTGAACAGGACCGGGCCCAGGACGGAACCCTGCGGCACTCCACTTTCGTCACTTCTTTCCAGGATGAAGAGGAAGCATTGGGGAGAATCACCCTCTGGGTTCGTCCATTTAACCAATTCCTGATCCACCTCACCATAGTTTTGCCTAGCCCACATTGGACTAGTTTCCTTGCCAGAAGGTCATGGGGGACCTTGTCGAAGGCCTTACTGAAATCCAGGTACGCTACATCCACGGCATTCCCCGCATCTATCCAGCTTGTAACTCTATCTAACTCTATTTTGTTTGTAGTGCAAAAAAAGGAAAGGAAAGGAAGAACAATACAACATTTAAAATGGGAATGGAAATGATTATGGAAGAATTTAGAGAAATAAAATTGACATGGTTTCATTGTATACAATTAGAAGAATGGTTTAAAAATTGGGCAAAAAAATAAAATAAAAACGGAAGTAAGCTTAACCAATTTGACCAAATAATACAAAATGGCAGGGCTGTTAGAGGAGCATGAAAATTTGAAAAGAATAACTAGTAAAGTATATAAAATAATAATAGAAATAAAGGAAGGAAAAACAAAAAACAACACCCTTAAGGAGGTCTGGGAAGAAGACTTAGGGATAAAAATAAATGAAACAGAGTGGCAACAATTATGGAGACAAAGACATCTAAAGAATTTATCAATACGGGTTAAAGAAAATTACTATAAGTTGATATGGAAATGGTACCTAACACCAGTAAGAATAGCAAATATAAATAAAAACAATTCAAAAAAATGCTGGAGAGGATGTCAAGAATCAGGAACATATATACATATGTGGTGGCAATGTAAATATGTAAATAAATTTTGGGGGAAAGTATTTAGAGAAATAGAAGATATAATGAACATTAAAATAGAAAGAAGTCCTAGTATAGCTTTATTATCATTATATAATAAACAACTGAAAAAAGAGGATAAAGGTGTGATAAACTTATTAACAATAGCAAGACTGCTTATAGCAAAGAATTGGAAAAGAAAAATAAATATACAAGTAGAGGAGTGGTACAAGGAAGTATGGAAAGTGCCAATAAATGATAAGCTGACATGTATATTAAAAGTTAAAAAAGGTGTATGGAAACAAAGTGATTTTGATGAAATATGGAGAAAATCTGCTGATCTAATTAGTAAACGTGAAAATATGCATCGATCCATCCATCTATCTATGTATCTATCTATTTTCCAAGATATCCACATTGAGAGAGCAGAGTGACTCCCACCAACAGCGGATCTGGACCAAACTTGGCACGCAGACCCATCATAGCCAACTTTAAATACTGGAGGGGTTTTGGGGGGCAATGACAAAGGATGATGGGGGTTGCAGTTTGCGAGAATCGACTCTCTTCCAGTCCCAAGCATTTTGGATATGGAAGAAGCTGCTTGGGTGGAGACGGAGGAGACCAATGGCTCATTGACTAAACAGGGCTACATACACTTTGATGGGCTCTGTAATGCCCCTGCCTTCGGCCCCAAGGCCCAGGCCTTCCTTCCAGCCCATCTTCTGGAGCATCTGGAAGCCGACGTTCTTCTGGTTCAGCCGCTTGTGGCGGAACTCCAAGTCCCTTGGCGCTGACTGGAAAAAACAAACAAAACAGATGTTTTGTAGCAGCAAGGAGGATAGAAAACAACAGATTGCCACAAAACGTTCTTTTCCCCCAAAACGATATTGCTTTTTTTGCATTTCTTTGGTTTCAACCCAACATATGGTGGCCCAAATCAGTTTCTGTTGGATTTCAGGAAGCCTCTTTACACAATATTATTTTCTACCTTAAAGTTCTTCTGCTAGTTAACTTCCATCTCAGGGATGACATATCAAACCTCTGTAAATGGAAAGGAAAAGCTGGGATTCCAGTACAGTGTGGGACTATTACTATTATTATTGTGTTTATTCATATCCCACTTTCCTATTCTTTTCTATGGCACACAGCAAACAGAGGACTTGATCAGCAACTGAACATACTAGAGAGATTTGGGACGAATTCACCATGATTTATAAGAGTTGTAGGTCTGGGATGAATAGTTCACCTGCAATCTAAGAACACTCTGAACCCCACCAACGATGGACCTGGAACTAACTTGGCATACAGAACGTCTTTGGAGGGATTGGTAGGAGCTGGTAGTTCACCTACATCCAGAGTACACTACAAACCCAAACAATGATGGATCTGGATCAAACTTGGCATGTATACCTGATATGCCCAAATTTGAGTACTGGTGGGTTTTGAGGGGAATTGGCCTGGCCATTTTGAAATTGTAGGTACTGGGATGTATAGTTCACCTGCAATCAATGAGCACTCTGAACTCCACCAGAGACGGAACTGGACCAAACATGACACGCAGGTCCCCCAGGACCAGCAAAAACATACTGGAGGTCTTTGGGGAAAATACACCAAAACACCAATGGTTCTGGACCAAACTAGGAACACATACCTGATATGCAGAAACTTGATTACTGAAAAGGTTGGGGGACGGGAAGTGACCTTCCTTTCTGGGAGTTGTATTTCACCCACAACCAAAGAAACTGTGACCTCCACTAATGATGGGCCTTGATCAAACTTGGCACACAGAACCACCATGACTAACTCAACCGACTGGAGGGGTTTGAGGGGACTGACTCACCACAGTGGGATTGTAGTTCACCCGCAGTCAGAGAGCACACTGAACCCCACCTGATGATGAATCTAGAGCAAACTTGTCCCACATGCCATACTTTAAGTACTGATGGAATTTCTTGGGTTAACCTGGCATGATGTGAGTTGTAGTTCACCCACAACCTTATGTATTTTGTACAATAACAGAAATGAATTTTTCAAAGAATCCGGCCAATGTCGGGGACTCAAGTTAGTAATAAGAATAATAAATATTATTAACATAATATTATGTCGATGTTCCAGAAGATGACATGACTGTATTTGAATAAACGTAGATTTTTGTAAATAAAAATATAAGACATCCCCTGAAAATAAGTCCTTGAGAAGCAAAATCTAATACAAGACCATGTCTTATTTTTTTTCAGGGAAATATGCTATGTGTTTATTTTAATAGGTGATTTTATGGTTGTGCTTTTAGAGATATATTTGACTGTAAAGCTGCAAATCTTCATAATGTTTTCTAATCCCAAAACATATCGAATCCCAAGTTTCTGATTTGTCTTTCCATCGCTATCTGAATTAAATTTAGATTCGTTCACATTCATCCAAGCCTTACGCTAACATTAGACACTGAGGATGCATCTATTATTATCATCATTACCATCAGCAGCAGCACCACCATCCTGCTATGGTATTAATAATAATAATAATAATAATAATAATAATAATAATAATTTAATAATCTTTAATTATTTGTGTTCAATTATTATTATTATTTTAAGTATTTTGATTCGTAGTATTTTTAATTTAATATTGTAATCAATAATTACTTTTAATTAATAATTATTAATAATGTATTACTATTATTTTTGATTAATACCATTGATCATTCTATTTGAATGCTTGTAGATTTCTGGGTTTTAAATTGTATTGAAATGCTCTGAATGTAAGTCACTTTGAGTGTCCTTTGTGGAGAGAAAAAGCAGGATATAAATAAGTAGAATAATAATGATAATAACAACGATGAAAAGAAGTCCAATGTATTCACAAAGACTGAATGGGAGAATCGCTCAACTCTTCAGTAATGAATTACCAAAACGATAATGCCATGACATTACCCTCCGTTGCCCCTCACCTTCTTGTTCCGATTCGGTTGGTAGCTATGTGGCCGGTCGTAAGCAATGCGGACAGGATCGTGAACTGAAAGACAAAGAAAGCAAACCCAAGTCAACACAAAATTACCCAGAACTGCCCTGTTAGTGTACAGATAAAGCATGGTGTCTTATTTCTAGAATTTGCAAAGCGGTGGCCATATATATATATACTCATCATCTATACACATAATAAAAGTGGAAATATGTATGAGTGTATGTGGCTGGGGTGTCCACCTCAACTCCTGCCTCCACAAACAGCTATAGCTTCCACTACTCAGGAGACACCAATGCCCCCCTGCTCCAATGACATTGCAGGTTATAGAAAGCGCTGTAAACATGTCCAAGAGCCCTGCCAGTGTCCTCCATAAACACCATATTGCCCACCACCCAAGTGAAGGCTTTCATACAGGGACAATTTCATCCTAGATTTTATGTGTTTCCTTCATCACAGACATCTCAGTATATCTGACTCTCTCCATTGGTGTGGAATTTGCATGACCCCACCCACTGCCTCTCCCTTAACCCTTTCCCCTTCGTTTCTATGGTACACAGCAAACAGAGGACTTGATCAGCAACTGAACATACTAGAAAGGTTTGGGGAGAATTCACCATGATTTATAAGAGTTGTAGGTCCTGGGATGAATAGTTTACCTACAATCTAAGAACACTCTGAACCCCACCAACGATGGACCTGGATCTAACTTGGCATACAGAACGCCCATGACCAACAAAAATACTGGAGGTCTTTGGAAGGATTGGTAGGAGTACATCCAGAGCACATTATAAACCCAAACAATGATGGGTCTTGATCAAACTTGGCATGCATACCTGATATGCCCAAATTTGAGTACTGGTGGGTTTTGAGGGGAATTGGCCTGGCCATTTTGGAGTTGTAGGTACTGGGATGTATAATTCACCTGCAATCAATGAGCACTCTGAACTCCACCAGAGACAGAACTGGACCAAACATGACACGCAGGTCCCCCAAGACCAGCAAAAACATACTGGAGGTCTTTGGGGAAAATACACCTTGATTTGGGGGGGTGGGGGGTGGGGTTGTAGTTTACTTAGATCCAGAGAACACTGTGAACCGAAACACCAATGGATCTGGCCCAAACTAGGAACACATACCTGATATGCCGAAACTTGATTACTGAAAGGGTTGGGGGACGGGAAGTGACCTTCCTTTCTGGGAGTTGTATTTCACCCACAACCAGAGAAACAGTGACCTCCGCTGATAATGGACCTGAACCAAACTTGGCACACAGAACCCCCATGACAAACCCAAACCTACTGGAGGGGTTTGAGAGGACTGACTCACCATAGTGGGAGTTGTAGTTTACCCTACAGCCAGAGAGCACACTCAACCCCACCGATGATGCAACTAGAGCAAACTTGCCCAACATAACAAAGTACTGATGGAATTTCTCAGGGTTCACCCGGCATGATGTGAGTTGTAGCTCACCCACAACCTTATTAATTTTGTACAATTAAAAACTGACATTTTAAAATAAACAGGACAATGCCGGGTACCCAAGCTAGTATATATATAAAAGTGAAAACAAGTTTGCATTTATGGGCATTGCTAGGTACTTCTTTTTATTTATTTATAACCTGCCACAAAAGAGACTGTAAGCCCCAAATTGGCTTGCCGTCAAATCAATTCCATACCATTTAAAACCCCAAAATATACAAAACATGAAAACAGAATTAAATATTAATGGTACTGATTAAAAATAAAACAGTTAAAGCGGATTAAAAACATATTCAAAAGAAGGCTAAAACCACAGCATTTTCCGTGACTTAATCTTACAAACCTTCTTTTAAAGCCTTCCTGAATATAAAGGTAAAATAAGATAGCAGGAAGGGGGCCATTCTGGCTTCAATGGGTAGGGAGTTCCAGAGTTCAGGAGCAGCCAATGTATACACATAACAAAAGAGAAAACATGTATGTGTGTGTGTGTGTGGCTGTGGTGTCCACTTACACAGACAACCTCCTGCCTCCACGAATAGCTACAGCTCCTACCACTCAGGAGACACCAATGACCCTCCCTCCAATGATACTGCAGGTTATAGAGAGCGCTGTAAACATGTCCAAGAGCCCTGCCAGTGTCCTCCATAAACACCATACTGCCCACCACCCAAGTGAAGGCTTTCATACAGGGACAATTTCATCCTAGATTTTCTGTTTTTCCTCCACCACAGACATCCCAGTGTTTCTTATTCTATCCATTGGTGTGGAATTTGCATGATCCCGCCCACTGCCTCTCCCATAACCCTTTCCTACTTCTTTCTATGGCATGCACCAAATAGAGGAATTGATTAGCAACTGAACATAATGGAGGGGGTTGGGGACAGACTCAACATGATGGAAGTTTATTATTACTTATTTATTTAAAATATTTATATTCCACCCTTCTCATCCCGAAGGGGACTCAGAGCGGATCACAACATATACACGGCAAACATTCAGTGGCGGATCATAAAATAAACTATAAATATACATAAATACTAAAATCAATTATTTCCACTTTAAAATCAATTGTTTAAAACCACATCGTAGTTCACCCTGCATCAAGACACAGCACTGTGACCCCACTGACAATGGACCTGGACCGAATTTGGAACACAGACTCCCATGACCAGGTTTGGGGGAACTGACCTTGATTTATAGTTGTAGTTCACCTATATCTAGAGAGCACTGTGAGCCCAACCAACGATGGATATGGACCAAACTTGGCATGCATACTCAATATGCCCAATTTTGAATACTGGCAGGGCTTGGGGAGAATTGACCTTGTCATTTGGGAGATGTAATTCACCAATATCCAGAGACACTGAACCCCACCAACAAGAGACCCGGACCAAGCTTGGCACACAGAACCCCCATGCCCAATTGAACCTACCGTAGAGGTTTGAGAGGACTAACTCACCACAGTGGGAGTTGTAGTTTATCCTACAACCAGAGAGCAGACTTAACCCCACCAATGATGCAACTAGAGCAAATTTGTCCAACATGACAAACAAAGTACTAATCGAGTTTCAGGGAGTTAACCTGGCATGATGTGAGTTGTAGTTCACCCACAACCTTATACATTTTTTTTAAAAAAAAAAACCTTTTTCAAATAACCTGGGCAATGCCGGGTCCCCAAGCTAATAATAATAATAATAATAATAATAATAATAATAATAATAATAATAATAATAATACCCAATTGTCATCTTTGTGCTAAGCAAAAGGAGAAGCTGCTTCAGGAGCTCCTCTTTGAAGGACCTCATCTTTAATTCAATGGCCATGGCTCAATGATATGCCATCCTCGGAACGAATTCTCAATAAACCTGCTAATGTCTATGAGGTTGGAAGGCCATCTCTCGGGGGGCTCTTTAGTGCTGAAGCGAGTTGGACTGGATGGCTTTTGGGGATCCCTTACAACTCTAGGATTCTATGATTCTATAGCCCTATTTCTCAATGAGCCTGCTAATGTCTATGAGGTTGGATGGCCATCTGTCAGGAGGGCTTTGATGGTGTCATCCTTTAGGGCAGAAGGGAGATGGGCTGGATGGCCTTTGGGGATCCCTTACAACTCTAGGATTCCATAGCCGTATTTCTCAATGAACCTGCTAATGTCCATGAGGTTGGATGCTCATCTGTTGGGAGGGCTTTGATGGTGCCACCCTTTAGGGCAGAAGGGGGATGGGCTGGATGGCCCTTGGGGATCCCTTCCAACTCTAGGATTCTATGATTCTATAGCCCTATTTCTCAATGAGCCTGCTAATTCCGACGAGGATGGATGGTCATCTATTGAGAGTGCTTTGATGGTGTCGTGCTTTAAGACAGAAGGGAGTTGGACTGGTTGACCCTTGAGGTATCTTCCAACTTTAGGATTCTATAGTCCTATTTCTCAATGATGAGGTTGGATGCCCATGTGTTGGGAAGGTTTTCATGGTCCCTGAACTCAGAAACTCTGCTTGTACTGAGGCAGGCCAAAACAGCATTCGTTGCTGCAGCTGCTTTTAAACCAATTTATGCTTCAGGTTTGTAAACAAAAGGGAAGCAGCCCCCTCCTGACCCTTTTGCTAGACAGCCCTGTTTTGGGGGGCTGCTGTCATGAGAGTCTCTTCCGCTTACTCACCTTTGGGCTCATCGATGAGACAGACCCTCTTTGAGGCCGGGATCAGGCCCACCTTCAAGGTCTTGCTGCTCACCCGCTTGCGCCCAAAGGGGGGACCCTTTGCAGGGACGGCCGTTGGTGGCTCTGGCTCCGTGGCCAGTCCTTCCTCCTCCGTGGCCGGTCCTTCCTCCTCCGCTTTGCCTGGCTCCTCTCCTTCACTTTCCTCCGTCTCTTCGGAGGGGACGGAGCAGAGCTGCTGGACCTTCAGGCGATAGTACTTGAAGGCTGAGCTCTCGGGGTCCTGCAGAAACCTGGGGAACAGAGCAGAGATTTTTAGTCCCTGCAGCAAAGCCAAAAGGAAAGACACTTTTGCTTCAAACTGTTGGAGGGAAAGGCATTTAGAAACAGAAGCAGTTTCAGCAGGTCACAAGCTTCTTCGGCACAGCAGCAGTAGAGCAAAATGGGCTTCAGCAATGGCACATGTCATGGACTTCCTCTGAAGTTATCAAGTTATCCATGCCACGGGTAGAAATTTACAAAAGGCTGATAAGTAGGGTCCTATGGCATAATCAAGGCTGAGAAAAGACCTGGAGCCATCCTTCAGACTTCATAGTCCTCATCAAAGACAAGAGCAAACCACAGACCACCTACGACAATGCAACCTGAGCCCTGCCACATGCACAATGGAGGACCGTCTCACAGCCACAACACAGGCACTCCAAGAGGCCAGCTTCTGGTCAAAGGACATTTAGCATCATGCCAAGTTTTTAACTTTGTTTGTGGTTTTAAATATATTCTAACGGTACCCTCAATTCACTTCTGAAACGATAAATAAAAATCAAGGACAAAAAAGGCAAATGAATTGGTTGGCAGGGAAAAGCCCTTCCTTCATTTCCCTCAACTGCAGATACATCTACATTGTACAACTGATGCAGCTTGACCTCTATCTCGTGCTTGCTGTATTGTAATCTTTGTTTGGCGTATTTTAATATATGTATTTCACAGAAATACATTTTAATGTGTGTGTTTTATACAATGCTTTGTGATGATGTGCTCTTACGTTGTGCTCCGCCTCGAGTCACAAGGTGAATCAGATAATAATAATCTATCTATATACGTAAGTGTATAGTGAAAATATGTTTGCTTCTGGAACATGGCCATACAGCCCGGAAAACTCACAACAACCCAGTGATTCCGGCCATGAAAGCCTTGAACAATGCATTGAAAATATGTTTGTGTGTGTCTGGCTGGGGTGTTCACTTACACAGATAAGTTCCTTCCTCCACAAACATCTTTTGCTCCCGCTACTCAGGAGAAACCAAAAGCCCTCCCTCTAATGACATTGCAGGTTATAGAGAGTGCCATGTCCAAGAGCCCTGACAGTGTCCTCCACAAACACCATACTGCCCACCATCCAAGTGAAGGCTTTCATATGGGGAAAATTTCATCCTAGATTTTGTATTTCAGTCGCCACAGATATCCTAGTGTTTCTTACTCTCTCCACTGGTGTGGAATTTGCATGACCCCGCCCACTGCCTCTCTCTTAACCCTTTCCTATTATTTTTATGGCACACAGCAATCAGAGGAATTGATCAGAAACGGAACATACTAGAGAGGTTTGAGGATAATTCACCATGATTTATAGGAGTTGTAGGTATTGGGATGTATAGTTCACCTGCAATCTAAGAGCATTCTGAACTCCACCAATGTTGGACCTGAAACTAACTTGGCACACAGAATCCCCATGGCCAACAAAACATACTGGAGGTCTTTGGAGGGATTTATAGGAGTTATAGTTTACCTACAACCAGGGCACACTATGAACCCCAACACCAATGGATCTGAACCAAACTTGACATGCCCAAATTTGAATACTGGTGGGTTTTAAGGGGAATTGGCCTGGACATTTTGGAATTGTAGGTATTGGGATTTATAGTTCACCTGCAATCAATGAGCACTCTGAACTTCACCAAAGATGGAATTGGACCAATCTTAGCACACAGAGCCCCCGTGACCAGCAAAAATACTGGAGGTCTTTGGGGAAAATTCATCTTGATTTGGGGGAGTTGTAGTTCTCCTACATCCACAGAGCACTGTGAACCCAAACACCGATGGATCTGGACCAAACTTGGCACACAGATCTGATATGCCGAAATATGATGACTGGAAGGGTTTTTGGGGAACTGACCTTCCTTTCTGGGATTTGTAGTTCACCCACAACCAGAGAAATGATGACCTCCACCGATGATGAACCTGGATCAAATTTGGCACACAGAACCCCCATGACTAACTCAACTTACTGGAGGGGTTTCAGGGGACGGACTCACCATAATGGGAGTTGCAGTTTACTCTATTGACAGAGAGCACACTGAACCCCACCAATGAGGCATCCAGAGCAAAATTGCCCAACATAACAAACTTTAAGTATTGGTGGAATTTTTCTGTGTTGACCTGGCATGATGTGAGTTGTAGTTCACTCACAACTTTATTCCTTTTGTACAATTAAAAAATTGACTTTTCCAAATAACCCGAGCAATGTCGGGTACCCAAGCTAGTAATGGTAATAAAAATAAAAATAATTGCTATTATTATTAAAGTAGTGTCAAACTGAATTAATGGATGTGGGGGGATAATGGTACACAATGGACGCCGGATGTTTTTGTGGCTTTCTTATGTGTATCAGAAACTCTCTGCAGCACACTGAACAAGACAGAAAAGATGTTGAAGAACTCACCACAGATCTGGATTGTCCGCACTGTTTTCAATGCTGAACTGTTCAATCTCGGGCCCCACTTCGGCAACAAACATTGCCAGCTTCCGAGCTGTGAGCATGGTTTTGGGGTCCACTGAAACAGAGACAAAAAAAACCAAAAAAACAAACAAACAGATGCATGAGGTGGAATCAAAAACAAGGGGGAAAGCACTGAGAGCTTAGCCCTGGAGAGAAGCAGTCTAACAACTGCAGGCCTTAGGGGGCAGCATGTTCTTGAACTACAACACCCAGCAAGCTAACCATGCAGCATCTTTGAGACTGACTGGGCCCGATGAGCAAAGGATCCTGATGTCAACCAGCTCTTTATTCAGAACCATGAGGACTGGGATCTTATTATTTCTTTTACAAAGGGAAAAGACTGGATGACCTCTGGGGGACCCTTCCAACTCAACTTCTATACTATTTCTCCATGACTCTTCTGATGTTATTTATTATTTACTATTTACTATATTTATTATTTACTATATTTATATATCACCCCTGGCACAATTGCACAAATACAATGCTGACATAAACGTAAAAAGAAAAATCATAATAACTAAACACTAACATATAACAATGAAATAAAAAGGCAAATAATAGTGATTTTTGCTTGATTAACAGCTGCCAAACTCCCAAACCTTTGCACTAACTAATCACACTAACTAATCACATGTTGTTGTTTGTTGTTGTTATTATTAAGGGCTGGATGGCCATCTCCTGGGAGGGATTGAATGGTGTCATCCTGCCTGGAAGAAGGGGTTGGACTAGATAGCTCTTGGGGTCCCGACCAACTATGATGCTATGACTAGACAATCGGATGGAATGATGGGCAGCTTTCATCCAACGGCTCGGCTTCACTCACCATCTGGAAATTGGCCTGCCAAGGCTGTATCTTCAGGATCCAAGGGGGCCTCACTGGCTGTGGACTCTGAGCTGCCGGCTGCATCGGACGGAGGCTCTTCTGCCGGGCCTTGGGCCTCCTGAGGATCCAGCTTTAGCATCTTGTCTGAGAGCAGCGTCTGCGTCCCTACGTTTGCCCTTCTGGCTCTCCGAGCACGGGCGGCCCGTTGGAGGATCCCTGACCGCCTGCCCCGGAAGAGCTTCTTCTTCAGGCTGGCAATTTTCTTGGCGCACAGGACCCGCCGCAGGGCGTCCTCCTCCCGCATCTTGGCGGCGGCCACTTTCTCCTTCTCCTTCTCCTCCTCCTCTTTCTGTGAGTTTGCCTTGGCTGCCAGCTGCTCTGCTTCAGACAGCTTCAACTTGTAATACTTGTGCTCCAAGCTTTCCTCCTCCTGCAAAAACCTGTTGGGATTGAGGAAAGGAGTCGAGGTGGAGTGAGCACAAGCAAGAAGACCCCAAACTCTCCCCAAAGTTCCTGGCCCAAATAGGGAGGGAAAGAAATGAGAACGGAATCACGACATGGCAAGAAGTATACTTTTGCTTATACAGTAATACCTTGAGTTAAGAGTTTGGTTCATTCAGTGACCAAGTTCTTAACTGAAATCACTTGTATCTCAAAGCAAATTTCCCACCACACGCCACCTCGAAGACCACCCCAAACATTTTTGTTACATGTTTTTAAATAAGCAAATGTACTTTATAAATAGCAAATGATGTATAAATGCACATTCACATGGAACAATAAAAAGATCAACTTTTAAAAGGTAGAAGCTCCAAATTGAGGCACAATGGTAGAATCACAAACTTGTCTCAAGGAAAATGCAAAGAGGCAGAAGCATCTTTTTCTTCATACAGTTCTCACCCCAGCCCCTCTCCTTCTCTTGCTCTCTCTCTCTCTTCATGAAGCCAAACACAATAATAATAACAATAACAACAACAACAAAACTTTATTTGTACACCGCTCCATCTACCAACAAGGAACTTTGAGTGGCTTACAGACATAAACATCTATATCAGTGGTTCTCAACCTTCCTAATGCTGCCACCCCTTAATACAGTTTCTCATGTTGTGGGGACCCCCAACCATACAATTATTTTCATTGCCATTTCATAACTGTAATTTTGCTACTGTTGTGAATCATAATGTAAATATCTGATATGCAGGACGTATTTTCATTCACTGAACCAAATTTGGCACAAATACCCGATATGCCCAAATCTGAATACTGGTGGGGTTGAGGTGGATTCATTTTGTCATTTAGGAGTTGTAGTTGCTGGAATTTATAGTTCAGCTACAACCAAAGAACATTCTGAACTTCACCAACAATGGAATTTAACCAAACTTGGCACAAAGAACTCCCACGACTTTATTTGTACACCGCTTAGAAAATACTGGACAGGTTTGGGGGATATTGACCTTGAGTTTTGGAGTTGTGGTTCATCTACATACAGAGAGCAACGTGGACTTAAACAATGGTGGAACTGGACCAAACTTGGCACGAATACTCAATATGCCCAAATGTGAACACTGGTGGAGTTTTGGGGAAAATAGAGCTTGACATTTGTGAATTGTAGTTTCTGGGATTTATAGTTCACCTACAATCAAAGAGCATCCCGAACCCCATCAACAATAGAATTGGGTCAAAATTCCCACACAGAACCCCCCTAACAAACAGAAAATACTGGAGGAATCTGGAATTGACAGTGATTTAGTGGAGAGCATGCCTGCTCTTCCTTTGCTGCTTGGAGTCTCAAAAACAGCCCTCCCCTTGGCTGAGAGGCCAGGTGAGAGGCCGGCCACTCACAGCAGGAGGAGGGCTTTTGGTGGGAGGAAGAGAAGGACAGGTAGAAAGATCTTCAGCCTTCTCTGCCAAAGGGTTTCCTAAGTCCCTCAGAAATATGTGTTTTCTAATGTTCTATGGCAACCCCTCTGAAACTTGGCACACAGGGCCACCATGACCAACTGAACATACTGGATGGGTTTGGGGGGAACTGACTTTCCTTTCTGGGAGTTGTAGTTCACCCACAACCAGAGACACTGGTTGACGGATCTCGATCAAACCTGGCAGACAGAACACCCCCATGACCCACTGATCCTACTGGAGGGGTTTAAGCAGACTGACCCACGATGGTGGGAGCTGTAGTATACCCTGAGGTCAGAGATCATACTGAACCCCACTAATGATGCATCTGGAGCAAAGTTGCCCAACATAACAAGCATTGATGGAGTTTCAGGGGGTTAACCTGGCATGATGTGAGTTGCAGTTCACGCACAACCTTATGCATTTTGTAAAATAAAAAAAATGACTTTTTCAAATAACTCAAGCAACACTGGATACCCAAGCTAGTAATAAATAAACAGCCCAATTAATAACATAACCAATTACACAATCAAAATCAACTCAAGACAGATCAGCACATAAGCCATTATAATAACACAATAAAGAATTTAAACAATTATACCATAAAAACGTATTAGGGGGAAAAAGCCCACACAAAATCAGCTAACTCAAAGTTACTCAAAGCAGACAAGAGCAAAGCAGACATCAATCTCCCAAAGCAGACAAGAGCACGAGGCATGAGGAACAGAAGCTGCTCCTTTGAAGCCCTAAAGCCCTGTCTTCTCACACTAGTGCACCTTTTCGCACTCACTCTTAACTCAAAATGCTGCTCTTATGTCAAAGTGAAACTCAGGCCGAAGGATAGCTCTTAACTGAAAACACTCTTATGTTGGGATGCTCTTAAGTAGAGGTTCCACTGTATATATTTTAAAATTTACAATTAGCATATATTCTAGGTGTTGCCCCAGCACAGGGCGGCACTGTCTCTTTGCTTTCATCCCTTCTTTTTCTTCAATCTATACACATAAGAAAAGTGAAAATATGTATGTGTGTATGTGGAAGGGGTATCCACTTACACAGATAAGCTCCTGCCTCCACAAACAGCTATAAATTCCACCACTCAGGAGACACCAAAGCCCCCCCTTCCAATGACATTGCAAGTTATAGTGAGCACCATGAACATGTACAAGAGCTCTGCCAATGTCCTTCACAAACACCATACTGCCCACCACCAAAGTGAAGGCTTTCATTCAGGGACAAATTCATCCTAGATCTTACGTGTTTCCTCCACCACAGACATCCCAGTGTTTCTTACTCTCTCCCTTAACCTTTTCCTACTCTTTTCATCTCTATGTGCACAATAAACAGAGCAGAAATAATCAGCAACTAAACTTACTGGAGGAGTTTGGGGGATTGATTCCACATGCTGGAACTTGGTAGTTCACCCTGCATCAAGTCAGAGCACTGTAACCCCAAACTGACAATGGACCTGGAGCACATTTGGCACACAGAACTTCCTCCCCCCCCCCCCCCCCCCCCCCCCCCCCACCTCCATTACCAAAGAAAAATACTGGAGAGGTTTGGGGGGAATTCACCTTGATTTATAGCCATTGTAGATACGGGATTTATAGTGCACCTGCAATCAAAGAGCACTCTGGATTCCACCAATGATGGCTCTGGACCTCACTTGGCAAGCAGAACCCCCATGACAAACAAAAAATACAGGAGAGCTTTGGGGAAAATTCCCCTTGATTTATAGGAATTATAGTTCACCTACATCCAGAGAACACTGTGAACAAAAATAATGATGAATCTGCACCAAATTCGGCACATATACCTGATATGCCAAAATTTGAATACTGGTGGGTTTGGGGTAGAATTGGCCTTGACATTTGTTAGTTGTAGGTACTGGGATTTATAGTTCACCTGCCATTAAGGATACTCCGCACCCCACTGATGATGGACCTGGACCTCACTTGGCACACAGAACCCCCATGACCAACTGAACGTACTGGAGGGATTTGATGGGATTGACTCACCATGGTGGGAGTTGTAATTCATCCTGCAACTGGAGAGCCCACTGAACCCCACCAATGATACATCTAGAGCGAACTAGAGCAACACGGGATACCCAAGCTATTTAACAAACCATAATACTGCACTGCAGGAGCAAGAGGTTCCAAGAGGGGTCTTCTCTTTTGGAATCTCTCAACATCTGCAAGCTCAAACAAACCACCTTCTGACCAATGTCATTTCCCTGACTGTGGCCCCATCCCTGACCTGCCCCAGCAGTTGGAGCTTGCATCCTGAGAATCAGAAAGGAGATGGATTTTGGCACAAAGAAAAGGAGAAGCACCCTCAACGCAGACAAAATGTCTGAAGCTATCCAAAGAAACAACTTCCCTCTGTCACCCTTCTCCCTCTATGCGCAAGAAGCTGAGAGGTATTCACCAATAGTCTGGATTGTCTCCGAGCTCAGTTTTTTCTTTTTCTGACAGCAAACCGGAGACCATGTTGTCGACGAGTTTTTCGATTGTAGTGATGACTTTCTGGTCAGCCCGCTGAGGGACTGGGCAAAGGAAAGAAAGCGGAAGTCAAACATGGGTACAAACCTCAAAAACAATGGTTTTATTAACATAGGCTAAAATATAATTCAACACCTTTGACTGCTTTTTAGGATAAAAGGATAAACAATAAGACGTAGGATTCTCTCTCTAAAAATCAATGTCTGCCTGTAATACAAAAACTGTTGCTAGTTGACAATCCAGTGGCCCTTTGTGATGTCACTGAATTGGCTGTTGCTAGGTGAAGTGGCCTTATTGATGCCACCGGGAAAGAAATGTGACCTGTGTAGGTGGGGAAGGGAGGGAAGAAAGAAGAACCACAAAGAGAGTCCTGTTGCCAGGGAGACATAGTGAAGTAAGTCCTCTCAGAGCTGTTGATGGGAGAAAGGAGAGAGGAAGGAAGGAAGGAAGGAAGGAAGGAAGGAAGAAGTGGAAGAAGAAATTTGGAATATATTTTTTAAACAGTTCACAAGAAAAGAAATTAGGGAAATTAGAAACCCAATGTTGAGCAATATATTAGAAGTATGGAACAAATATAGGAGATTGTTAATATCGGAGGGGTCAAGTATAACCCCAATTGTAATGGAAAAGAAGTTTCCAAAAAACCTAAAAAAAGTAATGGATAAAACGTTAAGGGAAAAAAATTTAGACAAGATAGGGGATTGGATAAAGGTGGGGATGAAGAAGGAAATGATTATGAAAGAGTTTAAAGAAATAAAATTGACATGGTTCCATTGTATACAATTAGAACAATGGTTTAAAAATTGGGGAAAAAATAATAAAAATGGAAGCAAACTTAATCAATTTGAGCAAATAATACAGAATGGAAGGGCTGTAGAAGAGCATGAAAATTTGAGAGAAACAATTAGTAAAATATATAAGATAATAATTGAAATGAAGGAAGGCAACACAAAAAATAATACCCTTAAAGAGGTTTGGGAAGAAGATTTAGGGATAAAAATAAATGAAACAGAGTGGCAACAATTATGGAGACAAAGACATTTAAAAAACCTATCAATACGAGTTAAAGAAAATTATTATAAGCTAATATGGAAGTGGTACCTGAAACCAGTAAGAATAGCATATATAAATAAAAATAATTCAAAAAATTGCTGGAGAGGGTGTCAAGAACCAGGAACATATATACATATGTGGTGGCAATGTAAATATGTAAATAATTTTTGGGAGAAAGTATTTAGAGAAATAGAGGTTATAATGAATATGAAAATTGAGAAAAGTCCTAGTATAGCTTTATTATCATTATATAATAATAAACAATTGAAAAAGGAGGATAAAGAAGCGATAACAAACCTATGAACAATAGCAAGACTGCTCATAGCAAGGAGCTGGAAAAAAGAAATAAATATACAAATAGAGGAGTGGTACAAGGAAGCATGGAAACTGGCAATAAACGATAAACTTACATGTATATTAAAGGTTAAAAAAGGTATATGGAAACAAAGTGATTTTGATGTTTTATGGGGTAAATTTGTTGTACATGGTTTAAAAAACAAAGAAGGAAGGTTACAGTCACAAGAAGAAATGAGATTTTGGACGGATGATATGTAAAAGCTGTGGCTTGAGATGGGGGGAGGGGAGCACAGTGGTGGGAAAAAAAGGGGGGGAAATGTTCAAGTAGAATAATAAGACTATATGTTGAAGAGTGTGTTGAATAATATGCAATTGGTATAAACAAATGTATAACAAATGTAATAACTATGATAAAACAATAAAAAATACTTTAAAAAGGAAGGGAGAAAGGAAAGGAAGGAATGGGGGGAAGAAAGAAAAAGAAGGGAAAGAGGAATGGAAGGAAGAGAGAAGAAAAAAGGAAGGAAGGAAGGAAGGAGAAAAGAAAGGAAGGAATGGAGAGAGGAGGGAAGAAAGAAAAGGGAGGTAAAGAAAGAAGTAAAGAAGAAAAGAATGGATGGAGAAAGGAAGAAGGAAGGGAAGAAGGAAGGAAGGGGAAAAGGTATAAGGGGATGAAAGGAAGGAAAGAAAAAAAATAGAAGCATGAAAGAAAAAGGTGGGAAGGAAGGAAGGAAAAGGTATGAAGAGAAGAGAAAGAAGGCATGAAAGAAGGGGTGGAAGCGGCCTCACTGACCCCTGAGCAATGCCAGGTACACTAGTAGGATATAAACAGAAATAGGTATATAAGAAGGGCCCCTGGTGGCGCAGCGGGTTAAACCACTGAGCTGCTGAACTTTCTGACTGAAAGGTTGGCAGTTCGAATCCAGGGAGCAGGATGGGCTCCTGCTGCTAGGCCCAGCTTCTGCCAACCTAACAGTGCGAAAAGATGCGTGTGTGTGGTTCTGCTTCTGCGGGAAGGTAACGTGCTCCATGCAGTCATGCTGGCCACATGACCTTGGAGGTTTCTAAAGACAACGGCAGCTCTTTGGCTTACAAATGGAAATGAGCACCATCCCCGAGCCTTTACTTTTATCTGTGTATCTATGTGTCGTTGTTTCTAGGCATTGAATGTTTGCCTTTGTGTCTGTATGTGCTGGAATCCCCCCGGAGAGATAGGGCAGAATACAAATAAATAATTACTATTACTATTACTATTATATAAGGTGTAGCTGATCTTATAGGACTGCTGTGAGGATGAAATTGAAAGAGGATGTGATGGAGAATCATGGTCCATGGGAACTAACATGAAAAACACCCTCCTTACTCTTAATCTTGGGCTTGGTTTCCGACACATTCCCTGCGCTCTCCTGTGGCACATCAGTGGCAGGTAGCTTTAAGCGCATCTGGCAGCCGCTCTTCTCCAGCCAGCCCTTCAGGTGCTCAATGTACTCTTTCCCAAACAAAGCAGAGGTGTCAAAATTAGGGAACGAGGTGGCTGGCGGTGCCGCCTCCTGGATGCTGAGAGCCTCTAGGATTTTCTCCTGCCGGAAGGCTGTCGCCAGGGCAAAGGTCATCCCAAGGAGGGCCAGAGCCTTACGGCAGAGGGAGACAGTGGTCTCCAAAGCAACTGATATCTGGGCCGGCTTGCTGACACTGCTGGTCTTCATGCTGAGCTCATAGGAGTTGCAGGCCATGAGCAGCGGAGTGGCGCTTTTCAGCAGGTAGTTCTGGAGCCGCATGACGTAGCGGTCAAAGGGCCCGATGACCTCGAAGAAGTCGTTCTTCTCCACCATCACCTTTTTCTCCAGGAGGAGGCTCAAGAACTGGCTGTCCACTTTGGGTGCCCTCAGCGCCAGGTGATGCAGGGTCTTGACACTGGAGAGGCAGAAGCGCTGGTGCTCGGACTTCAACGAGCACTTGAAGGAAGCCAGCATCTTGGCGCAGGTCTCCGTCTCCACCGTGAAGAGCATCCGGAAGAGCTCCGAATACTCTGAGTCCTGCCGAACGTCGTCAAACCCGGCCCACTTGATGATTTCGATCCCGAAGGTGGAGAAAATATCTGTGGGGTCCACAGGCTTCAATCTGAACTCTTTCTCCAGGGGAGTCAAGAACAGCCGTGGACGCTGGGAAAGCACAGTTTGCTGCAGGGGGCGCTTTAGGGATTCTGCCAGGGGATTGTCCATCAGGGCTACATTTTTAGTCCCCCATTTTTGGGCAGGTATGCCAAGCTCTGCTCGAGGTGCCATGCCACGCTTCCGTTGTGTTCCCCTTCCCCTCCCAATGGGCAGAGAGAGGCCAAGTCCTCTCTCAATGCCATAGTCTAGGTCGTAATCGGATCCATGAGCAGCCTCTTCCAAAGCCCCCAGGGAGCCCCGAAAGTCTCCCAAAAGCTCCGCAGAGCTGTAGCTGGCATTTTGCCGCTTGGACGGTTCTCTAGCCAAGACACCGTGGCTGTAGTCCTGTTCGTGGGAGGCCAGGAGACCATAGTTCCGGTTTCGGGACGACAGGCCAGTGTAATCCCTTTCCGCAGATGAGGAATGACCATATTCCCGCTCACGGGAAGGTGGCTGGATGTAGTCTCGGGTGCGAGATGCTTGTAGGGGGCTACTTTTGTCATAATAGTCGTCCTCTTCAGCAACCTGGCTGCCTGATCTGTAGGTAGGCAGAGAGTAGTCATCTCTCAGCTCCTCACGCCAATTACTGGACCCAAACTTCCCATCGCCACAGAAATCCCCTTCCTCGTCGTTGTACTGGGTTCGGGGGACAGGACGCGACTGAACTGCAGAAAAAAGGTAACAAACATTTAATTGGAAATTTCAGTTTAAAGCCCAGTCTGCCTCATCTGCCCCAAAAGTATTCTGCATCTTGTTTCCTGTAAACATTTATTTCATTTATGAGTTACATGTATAGCTTGCCTTTCCTCCACTGAGCTCTCAATAACATACAGAGCTTCCTTTCCACCACTTCCCGACCTCCCCCATACACAAGAGGAACTACCCCAATGGTCAGGTAGCAACTCATTACAGACTTCTGCAAATCCTAACTCACATCTAAACAGTAGCATTAATGCAGTTGGACACCACTTTCAAAGCACCTTATCACCTTAAAGAGTGATACGTAAAGAGTAGATAAAGAGTGTGCATACCACTTTAAGTTGTTATGAAAAATTCTGGGGTTTGTAGTCCAGAAGGCCCAGGACCTCTCTAGCTAAGGATTTTAAAGACCCCATCCTAAACTACAAACCTAGACTTCTTCACTCTTTATCTACTCTTTAGGCTCTAGTGGGATAACTGGCACTGGATCCCACTCAACTTAATAACTATAGGCCATTATCAAATCTCACTTTTCTGGGCAAGATTCTAGAGAAGGTGATGGCCTCACAACTCCAAAGGCTCTTTGATGAAACTGATTATCTGGATCCATCTCAGTCTGGTTTTAGGCCTGGCTATGGGACAGAGATAGCATTGGTCGCCTTGATGGATGGTCTACAAAGAGAGCTAGATGGGGGAGTGTGTCCCTACTAGTTCTCCTGGACCTCTCAGCGGCTTTTGATACCATCAACCATGATATCATTCTGGGACGTCTCTCTGGGATAGTGCTTGGGGGCATTGTTTTAGAGGCTCCGGTCCTTCTTGGGTCGGACCCAAAAGGTGGAGCTTAGGAACTCCTGTTCAAATCCCTGACCAGTGGCCTGCTGGGTCCCTCAGGGTTCAATTCTGTCCCCTATGCTGTTTAAAATTTACATGAAACCGCTGGGGGAGATCATCCGGAGTTTTGGAGTTCGGTGTCAAATCTATTACTCCTTTCTACCAAATCCCAAGGATGCTGTCCTGGTCCTAAACCGGTGCCTGCCATCAGTGATGGACTGGATGAGGCCTAAGAAGCTGAAACTAAATCCAGACAAGACAGAAGGACTCCGGGTCAGTTGGAAGGTGGATCAGAAATACAGGATTACAGCCTAAGCTGCACGGGGTCACATTTCCCCTGAAGACACAGGTCCACTGTCTGGGGGTGATTCTGGACTCATCAGTGTCCCTGGAACCCCAGGTATCGGCGGTGGCTAAGAGTGCCTTCACACAATTAAAATTTGTGCCAGCTGCACCCATACCTTGACATGCCAGATCTGGCCATGGTAGTCCACACCCAAGTCACATCCTGCTTGGACTACTGCAATGCGGATGATCAAGATGGTTTTAAACAGTGTATGCTGAGATAAATGTTTTTAATGTTTATGTATGCCAATAACAAATTCTTGCCCCAGCATTGAATGTTTGCCGTATATATGCTGTGCTCCGCCTTGAGTCCCCTTTGGGGTGAGAAGGGCAAAATATAAATGTTATAAATAAATAAATAATGCTCTCTATGTGGGGCTGCCTTTGAAGATAGCTCAGAAGCTTCAACTGGTCCAAAGGTCAGCAGCCAGGTTACTAGCTGGAGTGTTGAACAGGGAGGGGACACCTCCCATGTTACGGCAGCTCCACTGGCTGCCGGGCCACTTCTGAACTAAATACAGGGTGAGGCTGCATAATTTCCTTTTTTCAAAACTTAATAAAACCCATTGTATGAATCAGAAAAATAATTTTTCTTTTACATAGTTTTGAAGATCAAATTAGGTAGGTGACGTCCCCCATTCTCCATTCTCTATACACTGAGTAAACTGATTTCTGGCGTTTGTCATGACTCTTGCCAGCATAGCAAGTGTTATGTTGGCAATTTCTTCCTGGATGTTGGTCTTCAAATCTTGTAGGGTCCTTGGATGGTTCACATAAACACAGGATTTCAAAAAACCCCACAGAAAAAAATCACAAGGGGCCAAATCTGGAGAGCGGGCTGGCCACTCCAAATCCACTCGAAAAGTAGGCCTCAACAGCAAAAGCATGCTCCTCACTGTTCCAATGATGGCGAGTGAACTGTGTCAGGACAAAACTTTATACTCCCGCCTCTCGAACAAGACCACTAGCGCTCCGCTACGTCTTCAACCGACTGAACGGCGTGCATTTTTAAAAAGGAAGTTATGCTGCCTCACCCAGTACAAAGTGTTGGTCATTACCTATGAAGCCCTAAACGACTCGGGTCCAGGCTATTTGACTAACTGCATCTCCCTTTATAGACCAACTCGGACACTGTGGTCATCAGACGAGGCCCTGCTCTTGGTCCCACCCCCATCTCAAGTATGGCTGGTGGGAAAAAGAAAGAGGGCCTTCTCTGTGACCCCCCTCCTCTGAAACTCCCCCTCTAAGGAAATAAAGATGCCCCCCTCCCCACTTTCAAAAACCAACTGAAAACATACTTCTGTTCATTGGCCTATGAAGAAGAGGAGGAAGACTAGATAACGATACTGACACTATACCTCTGACTAAAAATTGTTATTTGTACCCGGGCTCTGTTTCTTCCCTGCTTGTCCAATTAACATCACTGGAAATAATCAGTCCACATATCCAATTGAATGCACTCGGCGTGGAGAAATCGCTGCTTCTGTTTGACTTTCTGTTTTTATGTTGATATAATTTATGTGACAGATTCTGTTTTGTATTTTAATTTAGATGTTAAGCCATAATTTGTTTTATATGTTATGTTATTATTTTGTTATGTGTATATTGGTCGTCGTACTCAGACATTGAATGTTTGCCTTTTTGTGACAGGAATCCGCCCTAAGTCCCTTCCGGGAGATAGAGCGGAATGCAAATAACTATTATTATTATTATTATTATTACTATTATTAGGTCCAAGTGCCATGTCTCAATGATACAGAATCTTGAGAGTTGTAATTTGGTGATTTTTTAAAATTATTATTAACTGCGTATTTACATCAGGGAAGGTGGGAATAGAATGAGGGAATACTACCGCGAGTGAAAGATACAAAACAAAAAGAAAAATTAAACCTGAAGTTATTAGGGATCTGGGGGAGAGAATAGGGAGGGTAGCAAGAAAAACGGTGAAAGAAAGAAAAAAGAAAAATAAAGAAACTCCCAATCTTCTCCACTGTGGTTTGTATTTTCTTTTCTTATTTATTTTATTACTATCCACTCTTTGCTTATTACCAATATGCAACCATTTTTTCTTATTATCATCAATTTAGTTCCATTTTCACTTTTGTTTTTTCTTGTATCATAAATTCTCTTATTGAAGTCCAATACGCTGTTTTTTAATATCCCTCTGTATTTTTATTTAGCAGTTGGGTTCATGTTCATTATGTCAATTATCTTGGATAACCATTGTTCTTTAGTAGGAATTTCCTTTGTTCTCCAGTATCAAGCATAAGTTATTCTGGCCGCCATCACCAGATAGTTAAATAGTCTATCTATATTTTTCTCCATTTCTATATCTTAAGATTCCCAGTAAGAAGCATTCTGGGTTTTAACTGCATTTTTATATGTAGCATCTTCTGATTTTTTTTTCTTGAATTTGTTTCCAATAATGTTTAGATGTTCTACAAGACCACCACATTTGGAAAATGGTTCTTTCATGTTCTTTGCATTTCCAGCATTTGCTTTGGATATTTGGTCAACATTTCACTAATTTCTGTGGTGTTATGTACCACTGGTACATCATTTTATACCAATTTTAAATCATAGGAGTAAGTGAATTTTAGTTTTTGATTCCATATTGTTTCCCATTCTTCCATTTTAACTGTGTGCCCTATATTTGCAGCCAATTTAATCATATAATCTTTAACTTGTTCTGTTTCAGTCGATCATTCTAGTAATTTTTTGTAAATTCTTGTGATTAACTTCTTATGTTTTTTATTATACTATCTCAAAAGGTAGCTTTCTCTGAAAATCCTATTATCTTATCTCTGTTGTAATATTCTCTCACTTGTCTATATTGGAACCAAGACATGTTTTAGTCCGTTTGATTAATTTCTTCTTATGTTTTTAGAATGCTATTTCAATCCTGAGTTTTCTTAGTGTATCACTATAAGCCAGCCACTTACCTTGTCTCGTTTCCCCTCTATGTCCTGCTTCTAGGGGAGAAATCCATAAAGGAGTCTTTGTATACAATCTGCTTTTGTATGTTTCCCATATTTTTATGAGGGCCACTAAAATACAACACTGTCTGAGCTCTGCAAGTGCAGCATTTTTCTGAATGAAGCTGAGAGTGTTTGAGGATTGGGACATCCGTAGGGAGACCAAGATGCTTGTTTATAAAGCTATTGTCCTCCCAATCCTGTTAAATGCCTGCAAAACATGGACTGTCTACAGATGTCACCCTCAATTCCTGGAATGATTCCATCAGCGTTGCCTCCAAAAAATCCTGCAAATCTCTTGGGAAGACAGGCAAACAAATGTCAGTGTGCTGGAAGAAGCAAAGATCATCAGCATTGAAGTGATGCTCCTATGCCATCAACTCCACTGGACTGGCCATGTTGTCCGAATGCTTGATGACCATCTCGCAAAGCAGTTACTATACTCCAATCTCAAGAATGGGAAATGTAATGTTGGTGGACAGGAAAAGAGATTTAAAGATGGGCTTAAATCCAAACTTGAAAACTGTGGCATAGACACCGAGAACTGGGAAGCCCTGGCCGCTGAACACTCTAACTGGAGTTCATCTTTAACCAGCAGTGCTGCAGAATTCGAAGAGGCATGAATGGAGGCAAAAGAGAGAAACGTGCAAAGAGGAAGGCGCATCAAGCCAACCCTGGCCGGGACCACATTCCACCTGGAAACAGATGTCCTCACTGTGGGAGAACATGCGGATCAAGAATAGGGCTCTACAGCCTCCTAGGGACCCACCACGGAGACACTACACTTGGAGGACCATCATCCTCGGGTTGCGAAGGATTGCCTAAGAAGAAGAATGAGGGCCAATCTAATAAAGTGGTTTCCAAAATTCTTTCCCACCTTCTTTTTCTCGTACCAAAGGTAAGAAAGCCATCTCATTCTTAAATCAAATCCCTCAAATGGCAACATTTTCATATTTTTTAAGGTCGACCATTCTTTGAATTATTATTATTGAATTTATTTATACCCCAGCTTTTTTTCCGTTGGGACTCAAGGCAATTAACAATCCCACTGAACACTGATACCATTTCGCAGAGGCAGCTAAAGACCTTGTAAAGTCCCATAATGCACTGAGTCATGGGAATTAAAAGTGGTGTCAAACTGCATTCATTCAAGAGTGTAATACAGTGCACTACAGGACAGCGGCTTATGTCCAGAATATTCCTCCAGAGTACAATTTGTCAAAGTGCAAAACCCATCATACCACCACTAACTCAGGCTGATGGGACATGCACTCCTATATCTTCACCTGCATTAACAGAAGCAAATTGAGGGAAACCATAGCCCCATTGTATGCTGCTCAGGCCTCATCCGGGCCCCATCTACACAGACTGCAGTCTGTAACTACCTCTGAGCTGATGGAGCGCCACATCGATGGGGTTGCTCTGATCAAAGTGGTATGGCTTGGCCTTGGTCTGCGCCAGGGCATCGAACTGCTCCCGTGTCATCCGCCGAGACGCCATCGTGGCACTGCAACTGGGAAGCAAGGAAAGGCAACAGTAAAGGGAAGGAAAGTCTCCGCATGGCCCTCTTCTAGCGCAGAGCTTTCCAAACTGCGTGTCGCGACACATTGGCTGGCCGGTCGCAGCATGTAGATGCGACGCGTGAACATAGTGAGAAACCTCTGAGTCTATGTGACATAAACAACTGAAACAAGAACACTCAAAGATGCCTAATGACAAAATACGAGCATTTCTATCTAAAACCCCACCAAATACTGTTTTGACTCGAGTCCAAGGCACTGTCTAATGCACACCTCTATTTTCATCTATGCACCAATGAAAGAATGAATCCATTTTCATTGCTTTAATTCAATACTATGGAGTTAAGGGAGCTATGGTTTGACAAAGTCTTGAGTCATCTCTTGATGCCTCACCAAACTACAAATCCCAACATCCTATAGCATTGAACCATGTCAATTAAATTAGAGATTAAGTCCCTCTAAGAGGAGCTCCTGAAGCAGCTCCCCCTTTTGCTTTGGCTCAGCATGAAGATTATCGTATTATGCAAATCTAATACGCACCCTAATTTTGGCAAGTCTATTTAGCCCAAAAAGGCGAGCATTAGATTTGAGTAAATAGGGTATTCTAAAACTGTGTTCATCCAATCAACTTCATATAATAATAATAATAATAATAATAATAATAATAATAATAATACATTTTATTTGTTACCCTTCTTTCCTAACGGCTCAAGGCAGGGTATGACAAAATCAAAACACATCAACATAAAATACATATATCAAAACACACAATTACACTTTTTTAAAAAAATTACGAAACACAGGGTACGAAGATTCACACAGAATGCAATCCAAAACTCATGATAATAGTGATTATTATTCAACTAAGGAAGATTCTATATAGCTAATGAAGTCTTGGTAAAGTATTCTTATACTCTTTAAAAAAATATTCTTAGACATATTTACATCTTGTTCCTCCTTGATGGACTGTCACCTTGTCGTGGTGAGGGGGCTTGAGTGTTCCAATGAACCTGCAGGCACAATGACTGGAGTCATGCACTCCCAGGAGTGGCCACAGGGGAGGTTCCAGACCAAGCACAGTCCGAAGACCCAAAGACCTCAACGGTGGAGCCGGCAGAGGATAACATGGTACATGTTATGGCTGTGAAAGTGGAAGAAGGCTGCAACAGATTGAGAAGCCACGGCCGTCTTGTTAAACTATGCCAACCGTGAAACCTCACTCTGTGAAGACTGTGTGTTGATCAGTTGTACACTGACCTCCGCACATTACAAAAATTCACACACAGGCGTCTTCCAAGGAAAATAAAAACAAGCCAACCAAAGTCCCATGGCGATCTGCGAGTTGTGATGGGGTCACGACTGTGAAATCTGGAAGCCCCTAGTCACAGACTGGCACATGGGCGGTGGGTACGGACTCAGTCGTTCTACCTCAAGGTCCGAGGCAGTTGAGTAGTTTGGCAGCTGTATCCATGACTGAGCAGCCCTTTTGAGGATCCACTCTGCTCACCCCACACGGGGAAGGGGCTAGAAAAGGTGCCCTAAACATAGTCTGCCTCTCTTATCCCTGATTGGACTGCCATGTCCAGTGGGGTCACCACCCTGTGGCCAAAAAAGAAAAATGAACTTCGGAACATGTAACGTACTGACACTGATAGACAACACTGACAGTGAACGCCCCGAATGCAGAAGTGCTATCATTGCAAGGGAGCTGGGACGCTTTAACATCGACATAGCAGCCCTTCAGGAGACCCGGAGAGCAGGAGAGGGACAGCTGAAGGAAGAAAAAAGGGGCTACACCTTCCTCTGGAAGGGACTGCCTGAAGAAGACCAAAGAATGCACGGAGTTGGCTTTGCTATCAGAAATGATCTGGTGAAACATCTGACTGAAGCACCCACTGACATTAATGAATGACTCTCAACCCTCCGAATGGAACTTGCCAAAAACCTACAGGCAACCATCATAAATGCCTATGCACAAACACTAGAGGCTGATGAAGACATCAAGGAAAAATTTTACTGTCAGCTGGACACCGTCCTATCGGAGATACCTAAGGAGGACAAAATCATCCTCCTGGGGGACTTTAATGCAAGAGTTGGGCGAGACTTCGACCTGTGGCCAGGGACCATAGGAAAAGACGGGGTTGGAAACAGCTACTCGAATGGAATCCTGCTTCTCACCAAATGTAATGAACACAACCTTGTCATCACCAATACGCTCTTCCGCCAGAAAAACAAGTTCAAGACATCATGGAAGCACCCCTGGTCAAAGCATTGGCACCTCTTAGACTACGTAATTACATGTGCCAGAGACCGCCGTGACGTGCTTCTCACAAGAGCCATGACAGGTGCTGATGACTGCTGGACAGACCACAGACTAATCCGATCCACGATGGCTATCAAGATCGCCCCCAAGCGCAGACTCCAAAGAAGAAAGACACGGCACAAAATGAACACCCAAGTCCTTCAGGAGCCCTCCAAACGAGCCCATCTTCAGACAGCACTCAAGGACCATCTACCCACAGAACACCCCGAAAATGTTGAGGAACATTGGAACAAACTGAAGACCTCCGTCATCACAGCCTGCGAAAAAGCTATTGGATATCAAACCAAAAAACATCAAGATTGGTTTGACGAAAATGACAACGAGATCCAACAGCTAATTGACAAGAAAAGGAATTCCTTCCAAACATGACAGAGAGACGTCAACTGTGCTGCTAAGAAAAAGATCTATGCCAGTGCAGAAGCTGAGGTCCAAAGAAGGACAAGAGAACTCAAGAACATCTGGTGGACAAAGAAGGCTGAAGAAATCCAACATCTGGCAGATACCAATGATGCTCAGGGATTTTTCAAAGCCACAAAGGTCATCTATGGACCAAGAAACCATGGCATACGCCCTCTACGCTCATCAGATGGAATCAAACTTCTGAAGGACAAAAAATCAATTGCACTATGTTGGAAAGAACACTACCAAAGCCTCCTGAATCGCAGCTCCAATGTGGCCGAAGATGTTCTCTCACAAATTACACAACAACAAACCAGGGATGAGCTTGCAGCACTGCCTAGTTTGGAAAAAGTTAGCAATGCCATCAGCCAACAACAACAACAAAAAAGCCAGCGGACCTGGTGGGATCCCTGCTGAAATCTTTAAAGAGGGAGGACCTGAGCTGACACAACAACTCCACCAGCTCATTGAAAAAGTGTGGGTGACCAAGAAAATCCCAGCAGATTTCAAGGATGCCACCATCATCACCCTCTTCAAAAAAGGAGAAAGAACAGACTGCAGAAACTATCGAGGTATCTCCCTTCTAACCTCCGCTGGGAAAATCCTCACAAGAATCCTTGCAAACTGCCTTCTACCCCTCCCAGAATCCCAGAACAGCTTCCGCCCCTCCAGAGGAACAATGGACATGATCTTCACTGCACGACAGCTCCAAGAAAAATGCAGGGAACAAAATCAACCACTGTACATAGCATTCATTGACCTTGCAAAGGCATTCAACACAGTGAATTGCAGCGCTCTCTGGACCATCCTCCAAAAAATCGGGTGCCCTAACAAATTTGTGAACATCCTGCGGCTCCTCTATGATGACATGATGGCAACAGTCTTGGACAGCAATGGCTCCCAAAGTGACCCAATTAAGGTGGAATCAGGTGTCAAACAGGGATGTGTTATTGCCCCAACTTTATTTTCCATCTTCATCGCTATGATACTTCACCTTGTTGATGGGAAGCTTCCCACCGGAGTGGAAATCATCTATCGGACAGATGGCAAGCTATTCAACTTCAGCAGACTGAAAGCCAAAACCAAGGTTACAACAACATCCATTATAGAACTCCAGTATGCTGATGACAACATCGTCTGTGCGCATTCAGAAAAAGACCTACAAGCCACTCTAAACACCTTCACAGAAGCATACAAGCAGCTCGGCCTGTCATTAAACATCGAGAAAACCAAAGTGCTGTTCCAGCAGTCACCAGCCAATCCCTCCCCAATGCCAGAAATACAGCTCAATGGTGTAACATTAGAAAATGTTGACCATTTATTCTCCCTTGGCAGCCACCTCTCCACAAAAGTCAACACTGACACTGAAATTCAACAGTGCCTGAGCTCTGTGAGTGCAGCATTTTTCCTAATGAAGCAGAGAGTGTTTGAGGACTGGGACATCCGTAGGGATACCAAGGTGCTTGTTTATAAAGTTATTGTCCTCCCAACCCTGCTATACACTTGTGAGACGTGGACTGTCTACAGACGTCACATGCAACTCCTGGAACGGTTCCATCAGCGCTGCCTCTGAAAAATCCTGCAAATCTCTTGGGAAGACAGCATTGAAGCGATGGTCCTCCGTCATCAATCCGCTGGACTGGCCACATTGTCCGGATGCCCTACCACCATCTCCCAAAGCAGTTGCTCTACTCCAAACTCAAGAACAGAAAATGTTGGTGAACAGGAAAAGAGATTTAAAGATGGGCTCAAAGCCAACCTTAAAAACTCTGGCATAGACACTGAGAACTGGGAAGCCCTGGCCCTTGAGCGCTCTAACTGGAGGTCAGCTTGACCAGCTGTGCTGCAGAATTTGAAGAGGCACGAATGGAGGGCGAAAGAGAGAAACGTGCCAAGAGGAAGGCGCATCAAGCCAACCCTGACCGGGACCATCTTCCACCTGGAAACCAATGCCCTCAGTGCGGGAGGACATGCAGGTCAAGAATAGGGCTCTACAGTCACCTGCAGACCCACTGACAGAACACTGACCTTGGAGGTCCATCATCCTCAGACTATGAGGGATCAACTAACTAACTACATCTTGTTACTCCTAAAGGATCAAAAGCTTGGAAATGCATGTTATCTTACAAACTGTATACATTTAAAAATGAGCTTATCTTGTGTCCCATACATTTACGTAGGTGTCTCTTACAAAGGGTTGGTTTAAGCTCTGGTTTGCTAATAAGACTGAATGATTGTGTTGCCAAATGATACATGTCCCAAAAGCGGTAAACATTTCAAAAGCTCTGCAAAGTTTGGTTCTGTTTTGAATGTCTTAAGGATGTCCTAAGGAAGAGTGAGGAGTCTTGTTTTCGGCTAGTTTGGAGACTATGGGTGCAAATGACAAAGAGATTCCACCTGAACATGAGGAAGAACTTCCTGATTGTAAGGAAAGCTGTTCAGCAGTGCATCTCTCTGCCTGGAGAGTCCTGGGGAGGCTCTTTCTTTGGAGGCTTTTAAACAGAGGCTGGATGGCCATCTGTCGGGAGGGCTTTTATTGTGCTTTTCCTTCCTGGCAGGGGGTTGGACAAGATGGCCCACAAGGTCTCTTACAACTCTATGACGCTAAAGATTTGGAATGATGCGATTTGTAGCCTGGCAAGGCACAAGGATGGCTGGCAGATAAGGCTAGAAACTACCATTCCCTTTATGTAAAATAAATAAAATTTATTATTATTATTATACAATATATATTTATATACAGAAATATACAGCATATATTATATACATATACACATATATCATAAGTACTATATCCAGACACATATATCATACAGTATATATAATATACAGTAATATATGTGGTATTATATGCATAGATATATGTATATAGACACATATGTATATATAATACCATATAAATATTAATACTATATGCAGGCACACACATATATGAAACAGTATATATTAGATACGCAATTATATATATAATACAGTACATATTATACACACATATACAGTAAATATATTCTATGCAGATATATATAATATATGTAAGTATAGGTAAAGGTATAGGTTTTCCCCTGACATTAAGTCCAGTCATGTCTGACTCTGGGGTGTGGTGCTCATCTTCATTTCTAAGCCGAAGAGCCAGCGTTGTCTGTAGACACCTCCAAGGTCATGACTGAATGGAGCGCCGTTACCTTCCTGCCGGAACGGTACCTATTGATCTACTCACATTTGCATGTTTTCGAATTGCTAGGTTGGCAGAAGCTGGGGCTGACAGTGGAAGCTTATGCTGCTCCCCGAATTCGAACCTGCGATCTTTTGGTCAACAAGTTTAGCAGCTCAGCGGTTTAACCCACTGCGCCACCAGGGGCTCCCATATATAAGTATATGTAAGTATTATATGCATATACATATAAGGAGCGTCCGGTGGCTCAGTGGGTTAAACCCCTGTGCCGGCAGGACTGAAGACCGACAGGTTGCAGGTTCGAATCCGGGGAGAAGCGGATGAGCTCCCTCTATCAGCTCCAGCTCCTCATGCGAGGACATGAGAGAAGCCTCCCACAAGGATGATAAAAACATCAAATCATCCGGGCATCCCCTGGGCAATATCCTTGCAGATGGCCAATTCTCTCACACCAGAAGTGACTTGCAGTTTCTCAAGTCGCTCCTGACACGACAAAAAAACTGCATATATATATATCGCATACAGCATATATTCTATTGACATATATATATATATATATATGCATTACAGTATATATTATATGTATATATAAGCTCTATATACAGACATATCTATATTATATACACAAACCTATTTTTCAGAGTATATATATATATATTTGATCGTCACACATTATATACTACACACATATATCTAATGTATCATTAGTATGAGTATAATATCTAATTATTAGTATGAGTATTATTAATGCACATACGTGTAGCACACAATGATCTATATCTATATATAATGTATTAAGCATAAAGAATAAGAAATACAAGCCTTGGTTTTGTTTCACAGCCAGAACCTACCAAGCCAACTCGCACTCAGAGCCCCCTCAGAAAGGACGCCGCCATTAAAAAACGCCAACGCGCATGCACCCAGGCAAGGCCTCTCTCTCTTTCGAGCCTCCTCCCTCCACGCATGCGCAATTCAGACCCCTTTGTGGCGCTCGGCCTGAGGTGCGGTTGGAGAAGCCGGCCGCGCTGACGTCACGTGGCGTCGGGACTACGGCGGCTGCGTGAGACCAAACCGAAGAGGGATGTAGCAAAGGCGCATCGTTACGACCTCCGAGACCCTACGGTGCACGCCGAGGGACATCCCAGGTACATTGTGTTAATTGTGAGCTGCTGTTTCCCTTTTAGCAGATAGAAGCTAAGCAGTGGGTATCTCAGATGTATTGCTTTGCTTAAATATAGAGCTATATTATTATATTATACTATATATATATATATATATAAGTATAATGTTTAGTATATTCTTATATTAATATTATATTGTTATATTATTATATTATTATATTTATATTATATGTTTTCTTTCTCTTGTGCTCATTTTCTCATCTGAGCTCTCCCTGATCAGATAGGTTTTATTTCTTTTTTTAAAAAAAAATAGAAGGTATATAACATGGGCGTCCCAAGCCACCTTGTCTCTCTGCTGAGGAATCTGTACAAGGACCAAGTGGCAACAGTAAGAACTGACCACGGAACAACAGACTGGTTCAAGATTGGGAAAGGCGTACGGCAAGGCTGCATAGCCTCACCCAACCTTTTTAACTTGTATGCAGAACACATCATGCGATGTGCGGGGCTTGATGAATGCAAAGCTGGGGTGAAAATTGCTGGAAGAAACATTAACAACCTCAGATATGCAGATGACACCACTCTGATGACCGAAAGCGAGGAGGAGCTGAGGAGCCTTCTAATCAAGGTGAAAAAAGAAAGCGCAAAAGCTGGGTTGCAGCTAAACGTAAAAAAAAACCAAGATTATGGCAACAAGAATGATTGACAACTGGAAAATAGAGGGAGAAAATGTGGAGGCCGTGACAGACTTTGCATTTCTAGGTGCAAAGATTACTGCAGATGCAGACTGTGGCCAGGAAATCAGAAGACGCTTACTTCTTGGGAGGAGAGCAATGTCCAGTCTCGATAAAATAGTAAAGAGTAGAGACATCAGACTGGCAACAAAGATCCGCCTAGTCAAAGCCATGGTATTCCCTGTAGTCACCTACGGATGTGAGAGCTGGACCTTAGGGAAGGCTGAGCGAAGGAAGATCGATGCTTTTGAGCTGTGGTGTTGGAGGAAAGTTCTGAGAGTGCCTTGGACTGCGAGAAGATCCAACCAGTCCATCCTCCAGGGAATAAAGCCCGACTGCTCACTGGAGGGAAGGATACTAGAGACAAAGTTGAAGTACTTTGGCCACATCATGAGGAGAGGGGAAAGCCTAGAGAAGACATGATGCTGGGGAAAGTGGAAGGAAAAAGGAAGAGGGCCAACCAAGGGCAAGATGGATGGATGGCATCCTTGAAGTGACTGGACTGACCTTGAAGGAGCTGGGGGTGGTGACGGCCGACAGGGAGTTCTGGCGTGGGCTGGTCCATGAGGTCACGAAGAGTCGGAGACGACTGAACGAATGAACAACAACAACATATAACATATATGTGTATTAATGCTATTAAAAATCAAAGAACACTACATACGAAAAAAGACCAAAAAAATAGCCAGTCTCATCTATATGGATATATCAACTAGATCAGTGTTTCTCAACCTTCCTAATGCCGCTACCCCTTAATACAGTTCCTCATGTTGTGGTGACCCCCAACCAAAACATTATTTTCATTGCTATTTCATTAGTGTAATTTTGCTACTGTTATGAATCGTCATGTAAATATCTGATAGGCAGGATGTATTTTCATTCACTGGATCAGATTTGGCACAAATACCCAATACGCCCAAATTTGAATACTGGTGGGGTTGGGGCGGGTAGATTTTGTCATCTGGGAGTTGTAGTTGCTAGGATTTATAATTAACCTACAATCAAAGAGCATTCCGGACTCCACCAATGATGGAATTGAACCAAACTTGGCACACAGAACTCCTATGACCAACAGAAAATACTGGAAGGGTTTGGTGGGCATTGACCTTGCGTTTTGGAATTGTAGTTCACCTACATCCAGAGAGCACTGTTGACTCAGACAGTGATGGATCTGGAGCAAACTTGGCATGAATTCTAAATATGCCCAAATGTGAACACTGATGGAGTTTGGGGGAAATAGACTTTGACATTAGGGAGTTGTAGTTGCTGGGATTTATAGTTTACCTACAATCAAAGAGCATTCTGAACCCCACCAATAGAATTGGGCCAAACTTCCCATGCAGGACCCCATGAAAAACAGAAAATACTGTTTCCTGGTGGTCTTTGGCGACCCCTCTGACATCCCCTCGTGATCCCCAGGTTGAAAAACTCTGAATTAGATAAAGGATACTTTGCTATTATCTATTCTTCTAGTCTGTATAAGTCTTTCTATATATCTACTTTTATCTGTGTAATTTTCTCTATGCAAATGACAACTGGGAGAGGTCATGTGCAGTGTTGGAATTCAGTGCCATCTGTACACATCTATTACTCCTTTCCACCAAAATCCATGAAATCCCCCCGGATCTTGGATCAGTGCCTGGCAGCTGTGATGGACTGGATGAGGGCCAACAAGCTGAAGCTTAATCCAGACAAGACAGAGGTCCTCCTGCTCAACAGGGTTACACTTCCCCTGAGGACACAGGTCCGCAGTCTGGAGGTCTTCTTGGACTCAGTACTGATGCTTGAAGCTCAGGTGTCAGCGGTAGCTGGGAGGGCCTTTGCACAGTTAAAGCTTGTGTGCCAGCTGCGATCATACCTCGAGAAGACGGACTTGGCCATGATGGTCCATGCCTTAGTTACATCAAGATTGGATTACAGCAATGCATTCTACATGGGGCTGCCTTTGAAGATGGCTTGGAAACTGCAATTGGTCCAAAGATCAGCAACCAGGCCAGCTATAGGGAGCACATGATGCCCCTACTAAAGCAGCTCCATTGGCTGCCGAAAAGTTTCCGATCCCAATTCAAAGTGCCAGGTATCATCTATAAAGCCCTAAACAGCTCGAGCCCTGGCTATCTTTGTGAACACATCCTCCCTCATGAACCTGCGCGGCCTCTAAGATGCGCCAGGGAGGCCCTCCTCTCTGCCCGCCACCGTCATAAGCATGGTTGGTGGGGACTAGAGAGAGGGCTTTCTTGGTGGTGACCCCAGGGCTTTGAAACTCTCCCCAGGGAGATTAGTCAGGCCCCCACACTGTCGTCCTTTCATAGGGATTTGAAGACATGGCTCTTCCACCAAGCCTTTGAAAATATTTAACTCCTAGTTGTCCTGCGTAGGTGTCGCACATCCTTCACTTTATCCAATGCCATCTCTCCATTACTGCAGCTGGCTATTTCTTTCCAACTTTTTAGAAATCCTCACCAGATCCCTGTGAGGAAATGAAGCCTTGCAAAACTATAACTCTCAGGATGCCGTCACATTTGCCTTATAGAGAATTCTGGCCAAACATGGCACAGATCACAGTGTCACCTTGATGCAGCTGTAGCCCTGCCAAAACCACCAAAGTCTGGCTCAGCACATTTCAGTCCTTCCCGGCTATAAATGTCTATTTTTATTTATGTATTTGTTTTATTTTTTTAAAAAAATTGCAAGAAAGAGCCTCTTGCAAAGGAAAATCCGCAGTGCTGTTTTTGGGCTCTTTAGTAAGGAAACTGAATCAGGATGTGGTCCAGCTAGCTTCAGCTGAGTCTAGAAGCCTGGAGTTGGAAGAGGCTCCCAATGGCCATCCAGTCCAATCCCATTCTGCCTGGCAGGTAGGCACAGTTGAAGCTCCTGACAGATGGCCACCCAGCCTCATAGATATTAGGTTCATGGAGAAATACTACTATACAGCCATAAAAGTTGGATGCGGCCAGATGACTATCTGTCAGGAGGAATCAGATTGTTCCTACCTTGTACAAAGGGGTTGGACTAGATAGCCTTTAGAGGATACCTTTTGACTATAGTGGAATATACATTGCCCAAGGGTATGCTGGAGTCTCCTTCCTTCTCTGGAGGTCTTTAAGCAGAGGCTGGATGGCCATCTGTCGAGAGGGACCGGATTATGTCTTCCTACCTGGCCAAAAGCAGTTGGACTGTATGGCCTTTGGGGGTTGCTTCCAACTCTAGGAGCCTCTGATTCTATCGCCAACCTGCTTTTGTCTATGAGATTCGATGGCCATCTGTTGGAAGGGATCGGATTGTGTCTTCCTACCTGGCAGAACAGGGTTGGACTGGGTGGCCTTTGGGGGTCTCTTCCAACTCTAGGATTCTATAGCCCTATATCTCTATGAACCTTCTAATGTCTATGAGGTTGGGTGTCCATCTCTTGAGGGTGATTCGATTGTGTTTTCCTGCCTTGAATTTCACTTAGATGGTTCTTGTGGTCTCTAAGATTCTAGGATTTGTTTGACTGAGCCTTTTAAGACACACCTGTGGTCCGTGTCCCTAACCTTTCTTCCTTTTTTAACTTTTTTTCAGGTTAGGAAAATAAGCAAAATGGCAGCCAAAAGGATTACCCAAGAAACCTTTGACGATGTGGTGCAGGAGAATATTGTGGAGTTCGGCATGGATCCAGAGGAGGCTTTGGCCGACGCCATCCAACAATTCGAGTCTCAAGGTATCACCTAATGAATCCCATCTGTTAGTAGTCCCAAATAGACATCTTGATAATATTAACATAAGTATGAATATATTATTATGCAGCTTTCAAGTCAATACCTGAAGGTATTCCTCTCTGTTGTCTTTTCCAGGTGTGGATTTGAGCAACATAGTGAAGGTGGCGCCAAATCCCACTGCTGAGAATGGACCAGAACAGAAACATGCCATTTTACAGGTGAAAATTGGGATATAGAGATCTTTGTAGACCAGAACATGAGCTAACAGTGTGATGCGGCAGCAAAAAAAGCCAATGCGATCCTAAGCTGCATCCATAGGAATTTAATGTCTTAGTCGAGGGAAGTCCCAGTCCATTCTGGCCTAGCCAGCCAGTAAGAAATAGATTATTATAATTGCTACGTTAGGTTTTTAAGCAAAGGCTGGGTGACCATCTGCTGGGTGGGCTTCAATGGTGTCTTCCTGCCTGGCAGAATGGGATGTGGTGGAGGTTTTGGACTGGACGCTCTTTGAGGTTCCCTTCCAACTCTAGAATTTTATGATTCTATAGCTCTATTTCTCCATGAGCCTTCTGATGCCTATGAGGCTGAATGGCCATCTGTTGGGAGAGCTTGGATGGTGTCTTGCTGCCTGGCAGAAGGGAGGGGGGTGAACTGAATGCCCTTTGAGGTTCCCTTCCAGTTCTAGGGTTCCATGATTCTTTAGCCCTGTTTCTTCATTAGCCTACTAATGCCTATGAGGTTCCATGGGCATTAGTCAGAAGGGATCGGATGGTGTCTTGCTGCCTGGCAGAAGGAGATGGACTGGATGCCCTTTGAGGCTCCCTTCTAACTCTAAGTTTCTTCATCCTTGTTCTCCCCAGACCCTGGACAGCCTCCAGAAGGCCCTCCTCAACACCAACTCTGATCAAGTGGACGAGCTGCTGGTCAGCTTCGTAAAGCAGTGCCGGAAGGAGCTGGCCGTCCGGTACCTGGCGGGCCAGAAGGGCGCCTACTCTACGGTGCTGGCTGCCTGCCGCCGGGCCGTGGAGGGCCATTGCTCAATGCTCAAGGCCTTGCAGGCACTGGCAGCGCTGCTGGACGGCCAGCCGGACCTACTGGAGGCCTGTGGGAGGGAGCTAGTTCTGCAAGCGCTGCGGGAGAGTGGTCCCGAGGAGGCCGAGCTGACCCTGGCTGCGGTGCGCTGCGTGCGCCACGCCTGCCTGAAGCATGAGCGGAACCGACAGGAGCTAGTGCAGGCAGGGGTACTAGGCCTGCTGACCGGTGCCATCCAGCGGCATGGGGAGCGGGCCGAGGTGGTGCGTGAGGCCTGTCTGGGCCTGCGGGTCATGACCTTCGACGACGATATCCGGGTGCCCTTCGGCCATGCACATGACCACGCCAAAAGCATTGTGGTCGAACACAACGGCTTGGGTGTGCTCATCGAGGCTGCCAAGGGTGAGTGGACAGGGAAGCGTCTCATGGCATCCCTAGCGCATGATCGAGTTATTGCATATGATATAATATAACAAAATATAACATATAAAGAGCACAACGTAATAAGAACATAATATGGAAAGAGCATAATATGATATAAAATAGCATAATATAATGCAACCTAATTGTCATGTATGTGTTATATATTATCTACATATAATACATATTGTATTATGTGATATTAGGTTATTATATTGTATGATATTACAATTTAACATATACATAATAGCATTACATATATATGTGATATATATGATACGAGCACAATATAATACAATATGATTTAATAAAAGCATATTATAATGTAATAAGAACATAATATATAAAAGCATAATATAATATGATATAAAATAGCATATAAGAGCATAATTATAAGCATAATATATATATTACATATTGTATTATATGACATTATTTGTATTGCATGATATTATAATATATCATATAATATATAAAAGTATTATATGTATGATATATATGATATAATATTACAATAAATATATAAAGTAATATAAACTAGCATATTATAATGTAATGAGCCTAATTATAAGCATACATATATTAGTTGTATTATATATCATCTACACATAAAATGCATATTGTATTATATTATTTGTATTGTATTGTAATATAATAATATAAATAGAATTTTATATATATATATAATAAAATAGGATAATATAATATAAAAGTATATTATAATATAGTAAGAGCATAAAATTACATGATATAATAAGAGCATAGTATATAATATAAAAATAGCATGATATAATATAATATTATATATGTGTGTGTATATATATATATTATTTTATATAATTTACATATTATATGATATGTTATTATTTTTATTATATTATTATATTATAATACTAGCTTGGGTACCCTGCATTGCCAGGGTAATTAGAAGTCATTTTTTTATTTTACAAAATGCATAATGTTGTGGGTGAACTACAACTCACAGCTCACATCGCGCCAGGTTGACCCCCTGAAACTCTTGTCAATAGTCGTGTTGGGCAAGTTTGCTCTAGGTGCCACATCGGTGGGATTCAATGTGCTCTCTAGCTGCGGGATAAATTACAACTCCTAACATGATGGGTCAGTCCCCTCAAATCCCTCCAGTACCTTCAGCTGATCATAGGGGTTCTGTGTGCCAAGTGAGGTCCAGGTCCATTATCGGTGGGGTTCGGTGAACTATAAATCCCAGTACCTACAACGAACAAATGTCAAAGACAATTCCCCCCAAAATCCACCAGAATTCAAATGTTGGCATATCAAATTCGGTGCTGTATTCTTTGGATGTAGGTGAACTATAATTCCTATAAATCAAGGTGAATTTTCCCCAAAGCCCTCCTGTATTTTTTTGTTGGTCATGGGGGTTCTATGTGCCAAGTTAGATCCAGGGTTGTCGTCGGTGGGGGTCCAGAGTGCTCTTTGACTGCAGGTGAACTATAAATCCCAGTACCTACAACGGCTATAAATCAAGGTGAATTCCCCCACAAACCTCTCCACTATTTTTCTTAGTTAATGGGGGTTCTGTGTGCCAAATATGGTCCAGGCCCATTGTCAGTGGGGTTCATAGTGCTCTGACTTGATTCAGGGTGAACTACAACTTCCATCAAGTGGAGCCAATCCCACAAACTCCTCCAGTGTGTTTAGTTGCTGATTAGTTCTGCTCTGTTTGTTGGGCAACAGAGCTGAAAAGTGTAGGAAAGGGTTAAGGGAGAGGCAGTGGGCAAGGTCATGCAAATTCAACACCAATGGAGAGAGTAAGAAACACTGGGGTGCCTGTGGTGGAGGAAACACATTTAATCTATGATTAAATTGTCCCCAAATGAAAGCATTCCTTGGGTCGTGGGCTGTAGTATTTTGGGAGGACCTTGGCAGGGTTTAGGCTACATGTTCATGGCATTCGCTATAACCTGTAATGTCACTGAAAAGAGGGCTTTTGGTGGCTCTTCAGCACTGTGGGTTAAAGCTGTTTGTGGAAGCGGGAGCCTGTCTGTGAAAGTGAGCACCCCGGCCAGACACATACATATATATTTTCACTTCTATTGTGAAGATAGATGTCATGTTTCGTATAGTATTATATATAATCTACATGTTATGTGTTTGTATACTTCTACTGTTGATATGGTCAGAGGACTAAATCAATAATTCTACATATTATATATAATATAATATTAGCATAATAGAATGATAGGATAATATAATATAGCATAATATTACATATATATTGGGGGGGTTTTGTAGGGCTATTTTCTGGACCAATGCCCCCCATTAAATCATTGTATTCCTTCCCCGTACAGCCTTCACAGACAACTGCGATGTCCTGAGTGAGATCTGTGCCACTTTGGCCCGGCTTTCTGTCCGGAATGAGTTTTGCCAGGACATTGTGGACTTGGGAGGCTTGAACTTCATCGTGGCCCTGCTGGCCGATAGCATAGACCACCAGGTACGATCCCTTCCGTCCAATCTCTTTTTATTTCTCTGAAAATAAAACCTATCCTGCAAATAAGACCTATTCCAAAAATTAATATAGAGTTTATGGGATGGTTCAGCATGGGATATAGTATTTTTAATAGTCAGTCTGAAGCAACCAGAAACTCAGTTTCATTGTGTTCATCTCTTGTTTTAATGATATTGTACCTTGCCATGAGATGCAGTCAAATTGTATTATTATTATGATTATTATTATTAATATTGTTATTGTTATTCCTTGCTACTCACAAAGAAGCATTGCTCCACTGTAACGTTGCTTCTATGCCACTTAATTGATCGATGTCAATAATGTTAATAATAGTAATAATAATAATTTTGCTTTGATGTCACTTTATTTATCAATGTCAATAATATCAATAATAGAAATAATAATAATGTAACAATAATAATGTTGCTTAGATATCACTATGTTGATTGATGTCAATAATGTTAATAATAATAATACTAATGTAATATGTCGCTTAGATGTCACTTCATTGATCTATGTCAATCATAGTAATAATAATGTAATAATAGTAATGCTGCTTAGAGTTACTTTATTGATCAATGTCAATCATGTTAATAATAGTAACAATAATAATAATGCTTAGATGTCATGGATTGATGTCAATCATGTTAATAATAGTAATAATAATAATAATAATGTTGCTTAGATGTCACTTTTTAAATTGATGTCACTAATGTTAATAATAGTAATAACAATATTGCTTAGATGTCACTTTTTAAATTGATGTCAATAATAGCAATAATAAAAATGTAATAATAGTAATGTTGCTTAGAGTAACTTTATTGATCAATGTCAATAATGTTAATAATAGTAATAATAATAATAATGTTGCCTAGATATTACTGTATTGATTAATGTCACTAATGTTAATAATAGTAATAACAATATTGCTTAGATGTCACTTTTTAAATTGATGTCAATAATAGTAATAATAGAAATGTAATAATAGTAATGTTGCTTAGAGTCACTTTATTGATCAATGTCAATAATGTTAATAATAGTAACAATAATAATAATGCTTAGATGTCACGGATCGATGTCAATAATGTTAATAATAATAATAATAATAATAATAATAATAATAATGTTGCTTAGGTATTACTTTATTGATTAATGTCACTAATGTTAATAGTAATAACAATATTGCTTAGATGTCACTTTTTAAATTGATGTCAATAATAGTAATAATAAAAATGTAATAATAGTAATGTTGCTTAAAGTCACGTTATTGATAAATGTCAATGGCAATAATAATAATAATAACAACAACATTGTAATAATAATACTGTTGCTTAGATTTCATTTTATTGATCGGTCAATAATAATAATAATAATAATAATAATAATGATGTTGCTTACATGTCACTTTATTGATAGGTGACATTACTTCTAAAATTCTCCAGGATGTCATGAGCAATTACATCCTGCTATGCTCCAACTGTTGATATTTATAATGATTAATTGGGATACTTACATCTGCCCGATAATGGTAGGACTTCCTCCTGAAGCCATTCATTTCAATAGGGTTGGCTGTTTTCCGTCATAAGTCTGGGAACACATTCCTAGCGAATAATGGGGTTCATACTGTATTGTCGAAAGATTTATTTAAGGACACCTCCACCAGTGTCCTTTCATTCTTGGGTTTCAGGATCTGGTGAAGCAGGTACTGAGCGCCATCCGGGCCATTGCGGGCAACGATGACGTGAAGGACGCCATTGTCAATGCCGGTGGGACTGACCTCATTGTGCTGGCCATGAGCCGCCATCTTGGAAGCCCCCAGGTATGTATTCTGGTGCATCTACACTAACGCAGATTAGGACCACTATCACTATAACTACCCTGGCCCCTTTCTCCTCCTAGGTGTGCGAACAGAGCTGTGCGGCACTGTGCATGCTGGCCCTGCGCAAGCCAGAGAACTGCCGGGTCATCATGGAAGGCGGCGGGGCCTTGGCGGCACTCCAGGCCATGAAGGCCCACCCCCGGGAGGCCGGCGTCCAGGTATCGCCTAGAACTGGAGGGAACCCCAAGGGTCATCTGTACAACCCCATCCTACCATGACACCATTTGATCTCTCCCGACAGAGGGCCATCCAGCCTCTGCTAAAGGCCTCCAGAGATCAAGGCCTGTTTTAGTATGGGGCATCATGTTAGTTTGGCCTCTTCTTAATATTCACTCTCACGCAAACAGAAATGACATTTATTCAGCATGGACTGAGGGTTTAATATCATCATCATTATCATCATCATTATTATTATTACTTTTATGCTGGAGGACCTAGAAAATGCCTAAGGCCATATATTGTCCATGGGCAAACTGAGAGTCTACTATATTACAGACTAGCTTGGGTACCCAGCGTTGCCCGGGTTATTTGAAAAATGCAGTTTTTAAATTGTACAAAATGCAGAAGGTTGTGGGTGAACTGCAACTGGGCAGATTTGCTCTAGATGCATCATTGGTGGGGTTCCTTGGGCTTTCTGACTGTAGGGTAAACTTCAACTCCCACTGTGTTGAGTTAATCCCCTCAAACTCCTCCAGTTGGTTGAGTTAGTCATGGGGGTTGAGTGTGCCAAGTTTGGTCCAGGCCCATTGTTGGTGGAGATCAGAGTGCTCTTAGTTTGCAGGTGACCTATACATCCCAGTAACTACAACTGCTATAAATCAGGATGAATTCTCCCCAAACCTCTCTAGTATGTTCATTTGCTGATCCATTCCTGTTTGCTGTGTGTAATAGAAAAGAATAGGAAATGGTTAAGAGAGAGGCAGTGGGCAGGGTTATGCAAATTCCACACCAATTGAGAGAGTCAGAAACACTGGGATGTTTGTGGTGAGGAAAGACAGAAAATCCAGGATGAAGTTGTCCCTGTATGAAAAGCCTTCACTTGGGTGGTGGGCAGTTTGTGAAGGATATTGGCTGGGCTTGGGCTACATGTTTATGGTGCTCTCTGTAACCTGCAATGTCATTAGAGGGAGGGCCATTGGTGTTTCCTGAGTAGTGGGAGCTATAGCTGTGGAAGTTGGAGCCTGTCTGTGGAAGTGGAAACCCCAGCCACATACACACATATTTTCAGTAGTGGGAGCTATAGCTATCTGTGGACGTGGTAGCCGGTCTGTGGCAGCAAATACCCCAACCACATACACACATACATATTTTCACTTTTATTATGTGTATAGATAGATAGATAGATAGATAGATAGATAGATAGATAGATAGATAGAGATATATTACTGTTATTCCCTTCATCCTGGAGGACATAGGAAAGGCTTAGAGGAGCCCTTGCTCTTACCACAACCCTTCCTTCCTTCTTTCCTTCCTTCCTCTCCCTCTGCAGAAGCAGGCCTGCATGCTCATCCGCAACTTGGTGGCGCACAGCCAGGACTTTTCGCAGCCCATTCTGGATCTGGGAGCCGAGAGCCTGATCGCGGAGGCCCGGGCCACCCACCGGGACTGCGACGACGTAGCCAAGGCAGCGTTGCGGGACCTGGGCTGCAAGGTGGAGCTGCGCGAGCTCTGGACTGGGCAGAAGGGTAGCCTGGCCCGTTGAGACCCCAAGAGTCCACCCAGGTACCCCAAAAAACATGGGGAATATGAATCCCAATAATCTCTCCTCCAGTGCTTGGAGACAGCCTCGGACTGGTGCCATTTCTTTCTTTGCCATCAACACTCTTTGCCGTGGCCTCCCAAAACGCTGTGCTTTGGACTCCGGGTGTTATTATCCACTGTCCCCCCCCCCCCACTCTTTTGTGTGTAGTGGCTCCCAAATAAGGTTTGTTCCAAAAGCCTTTGAAAAAGTTGTCAGAGAACGAGCAAGAGTGAAAAGGGGTTCCTGTACCTTTACTTGTGAGATACCTGTAATTGTGAGATCATGCGAAAAGGGGGTCCTGTACCTTTAATTGAGAGACACAGCAAAAAGGGCCCCCGTACCTTTAATGGTGATATCCAGCAAAAAAGACCCCCTTGTACCTTTAATTGTGAGGTCCTGCAAAAAGGAGCCTCTATACCATTAATTGTGAGATGCTGCAAAAAAGAGCCCTTGTACCTTTAATTGTGAGAAGCTGCAGAAAGAGGCTCCTGTACCTTTAATTAAGAAATCCAGCAAAAAGGAGCTCCTGTATCTTTAATTGTGAGATCCTGCAAACAGGGGCTCCTGTACCTTCAATAGTGAGATCTTGCAAAAAAAAAAAAAGGGGGGGGGAGCTCCTGTGCCTTTAATTGTGAGATACCTTAAATTGAGAGATTCTGTGAAAGGGGGCTTATGTACCTTTATTTGAGAGATGATGCGAAAAGGGGCTCCTGTGCCTTTAATTGTGAGATCTTGAAAGGGGTGTGCGGCCTTAAAAGTACAGGAGCCCTTTCCTGCTTTCGTTACTATTGTTAATAGTGTTTGGATCCTTTTTTTCACCTTATTGGCTGTCTGTTGTGCTATCAATGTTATTTAAAACAAAGTGTATGTCTGGATTATTTTTCTTGCACATATCGCCAAGCAAGGAAGCCAAAGAATGGAGTTGGACTAGATACCCCTTAGAGGTCTCTTCCAATTTGATCGAGTCAATGCCTTTACCTTTTCTGGTTGTTTAGGGTTGCGGCTGATCAAACAATTGAGTAAGATAGCAGTCGTAGACTCCTAAAGAGACCTCAAAGGCCATCCAGTCCAACCCCGTTCTGCCAGGCAGGTGGCCATCCAGCCTCAGCTCAATAACAACAACAACAACAATAATAATAATAGAATCCTAGGGTTGGAAGAGACCTTTACAAGGGCCATCCAGTCCTACCCCATTTTGACATATAGAACGGCACTATTGAAGCCCTCCTGACAGATGGCCATCCACCCTCTGCCAAATAATAATAATAATATCCAAGAGTTGGAAGGGAACTCCAAAGGCCATCCAGACTGACCCCATTCTGCGATATGGGAATGCACAATCAAAGGCCTCCCGATAGATGACCATCCATCGACATAGGCATCAGATTCATTGAGAAATAGAGCTATAGCATCATAGAATCTGAGAGTTGCAAGGGAACCCCAAAGGCAATCCAGTCCAATCCCATACTGCAATATGAGAAGGCACAACCAGAGTGCACTTGACAGATGGCAGTCCAACCCCAATGATATTAGAAAGTCCATGGAGAAATAAAACTATAGCATCATATAATTCAAGACTTGGAAGTGAACCCCAAAGGCCAACCCCCAGTCCAACCCCATTCTGTGAAGGCACAACCAGAGCCCTCCCGATAGATGGCCATGACAAAAACTCCAGGGAAGAAGGCGTTGAAGAGGGAAGCGGATGTTTTTTTAATGGGAAGGATTGGTTTCTGAAAAATACCCCGAAGGTCCCTTCCTCAGCCCTTTTCTTTGCCTTGTGTGTGGGGGGGCGAGGGGTCAAGGCATTGGTGATGGCGCCGGATGGACGCGGACATTGCGCCGGGCCATCCAGAGCCGGATCCGGCAACCCAGCGGGATCCTCGTTGGAGTGGTGGCTGGGGTGGCCCCTTGGCGGCTGGGGCCCGGCTGCGGGGAGCCCGGCTTCCGGAAGATTCTCCACACCCAGGACACCAAGGAGTGGAAGCTGAGGCGGGATGGGGTTGAGCGGGATTCCTGAGGAGAGGAGCCACTGCTGCTCGGAGCCATTGGCGGCCATGGAGCTGTGTTGTGCTGCTTTGTGGGTCTGGCCTGTGAGAGGAAGAGAAAGCATTCAGACAGGAAAACACTATCCAAGCTCTCCCGACAGATGGCCCTCCAGTCTCATAGACATAAGATCCTTGAAGAAATAAATCTATAGAATCATACAAAGGCCATCCGGTCCAACCCCATCCTACCATGACATCATCTGATTCCTCCCGACAGAGGGCCATCCAGTCTCTGCTTAAAAACCTCCAGAGATCAGGGCTTGCTTTAGTTTGGGGTATCGTGTTAGTTCAGCCTGTTCTTAATAGTTGGTCTCACACAAACAGAAATGACATTTATCCAGCATCTTGGGTTAACTGAGAGTCTACTATATTATAAATATTACTATATTGTTATTATCACCACCACAACAATGCGGGAGGACCTAGAAAATGCCTAAGGCCATATGTTGTCCATGGACTAACTGAGAATCTTCTAGATTCTAGATACTACTATTTTATTATTATTGGATACACAGCAAACAAGATCACTTTGCTGGCTTTTATATTGGATCACACTTCTGACATTTTCCAAGTGTCTTAAGACAGTGTGATGTATCAGCAAATAATGCGTGCAGATCCAAGTAGGGTGGCCTTCTGCAGCTGATGGTAATTTTGTCAGCGCTGATTGTTTTTTTAAGTTCAGGCCAAGGTCTTTAGGCACCTCACCCGATATGCTGATCACCACTGGGACCACTTTTATTGGCTTGTGCCAGAGTCTTTGCAGTTCGATCTTTAAATCCTCATATTGTGTAAGCTTTTCCAGTTGCTGGGTTGTTGTAGGTTTTTCAAGCTGTATGGCCATATTCTAGAAGCATTCTCTCCTGACGTTTCGCCTGCATCTGTGGCAGGCATCCTCGGAGGTTGTGAGGTCTGCTTCTCGTCAGTTCTGCTGTCGCGTGAGATTGCAACATCGACAATCCATACTTGTTTCTTTTCTTTTTTTCATGATTGTGAGGTCAGGAGTATTGTGCTCCAAAGCTCTGTCAGTCTGAATTTGGAACTCCCAGAGTAGTTTGATGTGTACATTTTCTGTAACTTTTTCCTGCTTGTGATCCCACCAGTTCTTTGTCACAGGCAGATGGTATTTGTGGCACAAGTTCCAGTGGATCATCTGAGCAATGCTATTATGCCTCTGCTTATAGTCCGTCTGGGCAGTCTTCTTGCAGCAGCTGAGGATGTGAGTCATCATTTCGCCTGCTTCCTTGCAAGAGTCTACACTTGGAATCTGTCATCAGCTTTTCAATTCTGGGTTTGATGGCATTGGTTCTAATAATTTGTTCTTGGGCTGCAAGAATCAGGCCCACTTTTTCAAAGTTCCATTTGTGAGCCACATCCATGTTTTTTCCTTGTCCATTTTGCTCTCAATTTTTCAATTTTAAGTATATTGTTATTATTATTTCCTTCATTCTCGGGGAGCTAGAAAATGCTTAAGACCATATTTTGTGCATGGGCTTACTGAGAGCTCTAGTATATTACACATATTACATTATTATTAGGACCTACAAAATGCTTAAGGCCTTGTATTGTCCATGAGCTGAGAGACTTCTACATTATAGAGGGCTGTCCAGCCTCAGAAACATTACAAAGTTCATGGACAATCTAGGCTAGACAGTCTTCGACTTAGAAGAGACCCCCAAATGCCATCCAGTGCAACCCCATTTTGCCAGACAGAAAGATCCTCCCCGACAGATGGCCATGCAGCCTTGGTTTGAGATGGAAGGAGACTTATAAAGAGAATATCCTGCATTTCCACCCACCTGCCGACTCTCTCCCGCTGCCACCTCCACAGGTAGAGGTCTCGCTTTTGCCTCCGGACTCGGGTTCGAGAGTAATGGCTTCATCTCTGTGGAGTTTGGGTCCGTCGGCGAGATCCGATGCTTTGTTTTTTGGAGCGACTTCCGGCTTTGCGGTGGCGGCGGCAACAGCAATACAGATCCTGGGCTTGATCCCTGACTGGAACTGACCCCGAGCTTGACACCTGACCTTGACGGGGAGCTCCCAGGCGTGTAGCGGCCAGCGTCACTCTTGACCCCCACTGGGTCTTGACCTCCTACCCCGTGTGGCCTTGGGCGCCCTGAACTGGGACGAGCCCCTCCGTGCGGTCGGGCCCTCGGAGACAAAGCCTTTACCTCCTTGAAGTTATTGTTGGCTTCGGGGCCATGCTTCTCCGCCTCCGGGCAGCCATCGCACTGGACCCCGGCATCCCGGTGGGTGGCTTTGGCCTCTGGAGGGCAGCGGGGCAACTCGCCGTAGGTCCGGTAGCAAGGGAAGAAGCCCGCAGAAGGGCAGGACTCGCACCTGGGGCCCTCGGGGTGTGCTGGGGCCTTGGCTGGAAGGCTGGGGCGCTGCTTGGCCTCCGAGCCAATGCTATTTATCAGTGCAACCTGGAAGGGGACATCAAAGGACAGAGCTCAAGCTTTAGCATCCCAGCACTGGAAGGAAAGCACCATCCCGGCCCTCCTAACATCTCTGTATCCATCAATATATGTCTTAAAGTGTTGGACCGGGTGGCCTCTGGAGTCTCTTCCCACTCTAGGATAATCTATCTATCCATCCATCCATCCATCCATCCATCCATCCATCTATCTATCTATCTATCTATCTATCTATCTATCCATGCATATAAAAGAGTTGGATTGAATGGCCTCTGGGGTCTCTTCCCACTCTAGGATCATTTATCTATCCATTCATCTATCTATCTTAAAGGGTTGGACCCAATGACCTTTGGGGTCCCCATTTTAGGAACATCTATCTGTCTATCCATCCACTCACATATCTACCCATCCATCCACTCAACCCACCCAACCACCTACCCACATATCTATCCATCAGGCTTGGTTGATTAAAAAAATGGTTCAAAACTAGTTTCAGATGTAGGGGGCGCTGATGGTTTGATTCTAAAGTCATTTCCGAATTTTTCAAAAAAAGTCAGAACTTTCCAAAACTTCCGAATTGCTTCGTTAATGGCGGACGCAATTGCGCAATATGCGGAAAAGAGCACTGGCACTGGGGAAACTCCAGGGCCTTCTCCCTCCCTCATTTTTACACCAATCTTAATGAAACTTGATATACTATATGGTATGTTAACATACCAAATTTCAACATGTTAGGACATGTGAGAAAAAAAAAGTTTCCAGAAATGACTTTATTAATTTCACCCTCTCCCTCCCAAACACATTTTTCCATCTTCTTTGGAACAGGACTGTTAGGACATGTTCAAAATATAGACCCCAGAAAAAGGGAGAAACCCCAATAAAAATAGCAAAGCTTTAGTGGTGAGCAAAAAAGTTTCCAGAAATGACTTTATCAATTTCACCCTCTCCCTGCCTCCCAAACAAACTTTTCCTTCTTTCTCTCTCTTCTCTAGCCCTAAACTCTTCCTCTCTCAAAATCTTCCCTTCTGCCTTGCCTTCCTCTGTTATCCAAAACTCCTTTCCTCTGGCTCCAAACCCTTTATTCCACCCCACACCCAATAGCAACAAGCAGCAGCAGCAACAACGGTCCAATCTCCCCCCCCCCCCCCCCCCCCTTCCTTGGTTGCCAATGAGCCTTCCAACCATGTGCTTGGGTTTATACAGCAATGGCTGCCGGACGCTGCAAACCCCTCCCCAAAACGTAACCCCTGATTGGTAGGGAGGCAAGCAGCTTAGATTTCGCCTCCCAGAATGCTTAATTGTATTAAAAATGCTTCATCATAGTTCTGACTCACTTCTGCATCCCTGAAATCAATTGCGCAAGGCGAGTCAGAACTATAGGGGACTACAGCCTTGCGGAAACG